GGGGAGTTCTAACGGATCGATGTATTCGGTATTTTTGCTTACGAGGCTTGCCATTCGTCGTAGCCGTGAGTCTGGTCCTGATTTGTCCCTGAGTCTCGTTCGGAGAGGGTGTCGCTCGTCCAGACGATGGATTCTGGTGGACGCTGTGTGGAGCTTCGCGTCCAGTATCACCTCTGCTGGGGGTAGAGCCGCCTCGCGCTGTAGGATCGGTACAGGCGTAGTTCTGTATACGGGGACCATCGCTCTGATGGCTTTGGTTTGCGTCGCGTCCAGTTGGTGTAGCAGACTACCAACCCCGTTTGAGATAGTACGTCCATTCTTTATCCGGCTCTTGCCGGGCCACTATGCTTCAGATGCATAGTATTGAGTAGGTAATACACAAGAGGTGATCGCTCGACGAAGTAAGTACGCAGGCGCGCCCCAGACAGTGTTCCCTAGTCCCCGTAGTCCATTGACTACTTGGCATGCTTTTGCAGAGAGGTTTCTTACGTGACTCTTGAATGTGAGTTTACGGTCGAAGTAAACGCCGAGCCAGCGTAGAGAAGAGCCTTCTTTGATAGCCTGAACTGTATGATACCTCCCATCCGGCAAACCTACTGTGATTGATGGGTTTCCGTCTTTTCGTCTCTTAGTGAAGTGGATCAGTTCGGACTTATCGAGGTCAAAAGTGATTCCTTCCGTCGCGCCCCATCCTAAGGTTTCTTTCCATTCCTTGGTTAGGATGTCACAGTTGTTCTCTAATAATATTAAGCTTGCCAAGATAGCAACGTCATCGGCGTAGCCGAAACGAGATCGCTTCCTTCCTAGGCGAGCTATGCCTAGCTTAAAAAGAGGTTCAATATAGAGCATAAATAGAATGGGAGACACGGGTGAGCCTTGTGGTAGTCCGCATTCGAGACCGAAGACGTCTCCTACCTCCCCATCAAGCCTTATTCTTGCTCTCCTTCCGGTAACAAAACTTAAGACCCAGCGTACGAGGTTCTCCGGCCATCCTTGTTCGCAGAGGCGTCGGACCAGTCGTCCTGGGAGCACGGCGTCGAAAGCCCCTTTTATATCGAGCGTAAGCATGGAGGTAACCAGGCCTCTTTGCCAGGCGCACTCGATGTCGTGGATGGCCGCTGCGATGAGGTCGCTGCAAGAGCGAAGAGGGAGTGCTCCAAACTGTTGATCGTGCAGAACACGATGTTTAACTGCGATCCAGGCAAGTCGTCTGGCGATGAGTCTCTCCAAGCCTTTTCCGAGGACGGCCAAGAGCGCAATTGGCCTATAGGAGCGCGGGAGTGTCTTGTCTCTTTTTCCCGGTTTTGCTAGGATCACGAGAGTTGCTTCTTTAAAACAAGTAGGATGCCAACCCTCGCGTATACACCCGCTATAAAGTGAGAGGACAATATCCTCAATAACTGGCCATGCTATTTTCAAAGCAGTCGTAGTGATTCCGTCGGTCCCAGGAGTCGTGTTTCCCGCGGTGAGAACCGAAGACCGTACCTCGTCCTTCGTAACCTACGGGAAAGGAAGCGTAGCTTGCCTTTGTAGGACTGGGCTTTCTATTGGTATGTCCTCGGAGATTGCAGCGTTTCTAAGGAGGACGCGGGTAAATAAGTCGCGCTTCTCTTTTGGTTATGAGACAAGCGTGTCTTGGTTGTCTACATCTCGGAGTGGCGGGGTCTGAAAGGATCCTGTGGCTTTGTGCCAACCACCATTTCAAATATGTCTTTGCTTGAGGAGGCTGAGGAGATCTTATCTTTCCAAAAGGCATCCTTGGAGCGTTTAAACTCGTAGAGGAAGTCCTGTTTTAGAGCTTCGACCTCCTCTTCTTCCCATTGGCAGTTCACTCCGGCTGCGCGGAGTCTTACTAACATCGCTCGCTTACTCGCATAGGCTCGGTTTTACGTGTGCAGCTCTCGCTCCAGTATAGTCTCCCTGTACCTTTCCCGAGCGTACGCTTTGTGGAAGCCGTGAGTGCTTTAATAAGACAGTCCGTAAGCTATTATGCTAGGAGATCTAAAGACTGTGGTCTTGGATGTTGCTTGCAGTGCGGCGTATGGGTTGTAAGTTACGTTTAATGATGCCGAGGAAAAGCTCCTCGTCCATCGTGTCGAGCCGAAACCTTCCCGGGGTCTGGCTGGGTGAATCGATCAGGGCCAAGGGGACCCGGGTAAGCAGAGATTCGTGGTCTGATGTCGTGTGTAGTGACGTTTCTATGCTGGTGGAAGCCCCATGGAGGTTGCTGGACGCCCAGCATAAATCTAGGGTGTTGCCGCCTTTGTGCGTGGGTTCACCTATAGGTGACATTAGGACAAGGCTAGCGGCTTCTGCCCATTCTACTAGGTTTTCAGCGTCCGGGGAACTCGTGGCCTCGGGCTGCCACGTCCAATGGTGTAAGTTAAAATCCCCCGCAATCAGTACTCGATCCTCAGGTTTGGGTTGCCAGGCCGCTAGGATGTTCCTGAGAGCCTGGCCAGATCGCAGAGAGCCACGAGGGGCGTTATATACGTTAATGACTATGAGGACCTCCTTCGTTCCTGAGAGGAGTCGTAAGAAGAGCAGGTCTGTGGATGGATCGGGTAGAGGCCGTGTTTGTACGCCTCGTACCCCAGTTCCTCTGCGGAGGTAGGTAAGTACCCTGGGACGGTCTTCGGTCCAGTTATCTACTGGGGTGAAAGTCTCAAAACCTGGGTGGTGTCTTGTGAGCCTCCTCTCTTCCGAACGGATAGACGGCTCTTGTATTAGGAGTATATCGATCTGGGCTGCGTAAGCCAGGTTCAGTGCTGTTTCGTGGGCGGATGCCCGCCTGCCCACATTCGCTTGCATGATTTGCAGGGTTTTAGAGGGCTGTATTCTTCTTTTGTGTCTCATTCGTCGGGGTACAGTCCATCGCTTGTTCTTCTTCACGGGAATGTCGATGCGACTGCTGGGTCGCATTTCTCCATAATCTTTCTCCCTCAGCTCGGATGGCCCGTAGCTGAGCCTTATCCCTCCTCTGGACTACCCCCTTCACCACTTTGGGTTGGATAGGGCAAGTCGCATCGAAGGCGGCATGAGGCCCGTTACACGACGGGCATTTAAAGGGGCAGTCGCAGCCATCGTGACCCTCAGTGCCGCCGCAGGGTGCCCGGTGTTGATCAGTTGTGTGGGAAGGAGAGCTGCACTTGAGGCATCTCTTCCTTCTGGTGCACGTTCGTTCGTTGTGAAAACCGCCGCAGCGGAGACATTGAGGAGACCTCTTCTCCTTCGGGAACTGCAGGTTTACAAAAACGCTGGCCCCCATCAAACGGAGGCGTCTTGGTAGTTGCCTTACGGCTTCCGCCTTGAACCAGGCTGTCACCGTGCCTAGCCTTTCGACTTCGTCCTTCCTAGAGAAGTGTGCTTTTTCAGGCTTGAGTTTCGTCGAGACCTGGATCTCTTCAAGGAGCTCCTCGGTCGTGATTTCCAGCTCAGTGTTGGTTACCAGACAATGCCTGGTGTAAGGGACGTTTGCGATATAGGCTCGGATCCAGGTATCGCGTTGCTCGATCGCTTGCGCTTGGAGAAGGGCAGCGATCTGTTCTCTGTTCTCTAGCAGGACTTTTGCACCTTCCATTGACGAAGGTAGGAGTGCTAATCCTGTCTTGACATGGTCGATCCCCTTGAGGGCTTCTCGGGCTTGGGGACTTAGCCTTTCCCGAACGAAGATGTATATGTCGTAGGCTTTCTCGTTCCGAAGCGGGCTTTCAGGCGATAGACGCGCGAAGACGCGTAGATCCTTTAAGGCCGCCCGGTTTGTAGCTTGTTTTGCGGCTTGTTTGGCTGGCGTTGGTTCATCCTGTCTTCTGGACAGTGGCTGGCTCGCCGCCGCCGCGTATGAACGGACTGGGGGCGGCTGGTTCTGGGTTGTGTGCGAGGGATGCCCCTGGGAACTCAGGTCAGTCTCGCTAGGCCCTGTGCCAATAGCGTGCATAGACCTTGCTAGACCACGTTGATGCCGGTTTGAACGCTGTTTCTCCTCCTGAAGCTCTCTCTCCAAGGATTCGATCTTCGTCAAACAGTCTTTCAAAAACTGTTCCCTCTCGGCGTCCCGACGCAGGAGGTCCTGGACCAGATTCGAAAGCTTATTGATCTCGTCTTTGAGCTCAGAATTGTCCTGGTGGTTGACCTGCTCAACCACTCTGACCTTTGCAGTCGGCTTCCGGACTCGTCCCGACCGCCGAGATATACCGGCGTCCCCGTGAACCGTGATCGATGGCCCTACATCTAGGGAGACCGCCATGGTCGTGGTGTTCAGCTCGTATGGGCTGATGTTGAGAGATGATAGTGCAGTGGGCCGTAGCCCTCTATAACCTTAACAATTACTAACAGTGGGTACCTTTCGAGGTATGTGTTCTTGGACCATAGCCTCATCAACTGTAAGATCTGAACCAGTTGTTGTGGCAGGTGCAGGCGGGTCACGTGAGGCAGCTCCTTCACATCTCGGAGCTGCCCCACCTACACCTTGCCCAGATATCCAGCCCAGCCAGCGCTCAGCTTTTCCCTTCATCATCATCAGATCCAATACAGTAGTATTGCCTCCACAGAATCCACTCTAGCGAGGTGGCTTGTGAAGAATTTGAAATCCTTCATTCTGACCTCATCCGGCCTACCATCGTAGATCCGCCTGACAAGGTCGTGCACCCGACGGATGAAATGGCCATCATACAGCGAGTGATGCACCGTCCAGATGAACGATGAGCATTGGGCCTCACTGTCGGTTACGATGGCGTAGCGAGCAAGCGGGTGGCCGAGGACCATCGGGAATGAGGCATCCTCTTCGAGATACCGTTCGAGGTCCGTTCCCGAGCCCCATGTTATGCTTTCACTGACCACCAGTTGGACCAAGCCGGCATCACGATCCTGCACGATGCGCGTACGGAGAACAGGGAGACAGCGAACAGACTCCTCCCAAGCTTGCCGGAATGCATCTAGATTGACATGTTCTGAAAGCTGTAGCACGCTGCGCATGGTATAGGCTTGGGCAGACTTGGAAGTCAGGGCGATGAGTCCCTCTTGCAGGGGGTGCATGGATAGGCATCCTCGATAAGGCGCACGTCGAGGCCGCAAACGGCGGCGATACGCCTGCGGAAGCTCGGTATGTGTACGGTGTCAGCCAGCAAGGTAAAGGGAGTCAACTCCTCCTGCAGTGCATCCGCGTGACGTATGGGTAGCGAAAGGCGGGACAATGCGGACAGTCTTGGGTTCCGAAAGACGTCCGCGACGGTGAGTGTCAGGCCAGCCTGCCGGGCTTCGACAACGAGCTTCATGGCGCTAATGGAGTCACCACCGAGGCCGAAGAAGCTGTCGTCTGCACCGATGCCATCGGCCTCGAGACAGAGGATTCGTCCCCAGATTTGCTGCATTGCGACTTCCGCCTTGGTCGAGATTGTCGGATGACCGTGGCGTTTCTGTCTCCGCATTTCGAGCAGCTGATCAACGGAAGTTTGGGACGCCATCTCACGGAGCTGCTTCCGGTCCGTCTTACCCGTTGCCGTCAGTGGAAGGCGGGACAGAGTAAAAATGACGGCCGGAATCATATAGTTCGGCAAGTGCTCCGCGAGCCTGTCTTCCATATTATTTGGGATAGGGAGTAGGGTGGCCTGGCTGTCGGCTGTAGTTATTACGTCCGATAGGAAAATAGCAAGCATAGGGCTAGCCCCGTCTCCGGACGGGACGATGACCTCGGCGGCGACCTGCTCGGCCTCCTGAGCTTGCGGGAGACATGCGCGGATCTAGTACTCAACCTCGCTGAGCTCGACCTACTGGCCGCGGATCTTAACTTACGTATTTTTGCGGCCGATATAAGTAAGGCTACCGTCCGGGCTATAGCGTACTAGATCGCCCGTCTTATAGAGAACACCGTAGCGTCCCGGGTGCTGGGGGGTTCCCTTAACCAGCCACGTAAGATCCCGGATAAACGCGGCTACCGTCTTTTCCGGGTCCTTTAGGTAGCCGAGGCCAAGAAGAGGGCCTTCGAGGAGTAGCTCTCCGACATTGCCGATGGGCATAAGGCTATTGTGGTCGGCCAGGTCGACGACCCAAGTGACTGCCCCCGCACCCTTGCCGATGCTGGTCGCGGCTTCCGGAGTCTCGGCCTTGGCGTTCACTACTGTGACTGGTGTACACTCGGCCGGGCCATACATGTTCACCACCTTTTTCACACCCCAGAGCTCTGTCTCGCACAAGGTCACAGGCTCCCCACCTAACAGAACCCTCTCTACTAATGGTAGTTGAGCAGGGTCTAGAAGCCGAGAAACAGACGAGGTAAGGGAAAGGAGTGTCACCCGCGCATTGATCATGGATGCCATGAGATTATCTGTGCGGTCTTGCTCGGATGGGATACAAAGACATCCGCCCTTCGCAAGGGTGGTGACCATGGAGTGTATAAACATATCGAACGCGTGGTTAGCAAAGTCGTACACCCTTGACAACGGCTTGAACCCGAGCTCGTCCGCTTGATAGTGGACGTTGGAGGCGAAAGCAGTGTGTGACACAAGAACACCCTTGGGCAGGCCGGTACTGCCGGAAGTGAAGATGGCATATATTAATGATAAAGGGTCGACGTTAGGTAGCGCTATTATCCGGTATGTGTCCGGGATGAGCCCATTACCTATTACGACGGCTTGCTCGACCAGTCGAGAGCCTAGCGAGTTCGTTAAGACCGATATAAGAATGATAGTGGTATCGGCCTGCTCGATAATCGCATAAAGGCGTAGCTCGGGGTGTGCTAGATTAAGTATAAGGAAAGCTCCTCCGGTCTTAAGGACGGCCAGGATCGATACGGACACCTACATCGACTTTTCAAAGTAGATAGGAACGATCGCCCCAGGACCGACGCCGATATTAATAAAGTGATGGGTAAGGGCTATAAATAGGTTATCGAGTTCACCGTAGTTCAGGTCCCCGTCCTATACTTCTACGGCTAGTGCTTCGGGCCGTGACCTGGCTTACTCTCGGATCCAGTTATACGCGCAGCGCTCTATCGCCGGCGGGACCTTTATATTCTATGCCCAAACTTACTCACGGTCCTACGGTATTAAAGTCATAATATTGTAAATAGTAATACTATATCCCGATGCGGCAAGCTTTTGTATTATAAAGCTGAACTACTCTACCGTTCTCTTCATTTGCTAATAACTTAGAACGTAAGAGTTATAGCCGGCCACGATCTCCACGTGGTTTTTTTGAAAATAATACGTTAGCGTTACGCTATATGTGCTGAAGGCCTGTTCACCCGACCGCGTTCGCCACCGTCCAAAGGAGGATGCGGTAAGGAGGTTCTCATCTGGCGGCTGTACTACCAGAAGCGTCTGGAAGTCATAGGCCCGCCGGGCTTCAGGGCTGGCCTTGGCGATTGCCTGAAGCCCCGCCTGTTTGAAAGGTATCATCTCAATGAAATCGTCCTGCACTTCCCGCAGGTAGTCCAAAACCTGTTGTTGGGGCTGGATGTGGACTCTGACAGGGACGGTCGCGATGGTCGGTCCTACGATCGTCTCGATACCCGGAAGTGAAGCGCCGCGGCCAGAAACGGTGGCTCCGAAGACTATATCCTCCAGATCGGTATTTCCGTAACCGACTATAGCCCATACGGCCCGCACCATCGTCGCCAAGGTAAAGTCTGACTTCTCTGCTATCGGTAATACGCAGATAGATTCCACTATTAAATAGGCTACCATCTGTGCTGCCTGGGGAGGAGGGGGTAGAAATGGAATGGATTAGTAACTAATAAACTATAACCGCCAGTATTCTATATTTTTTATGCTGTTGGTTTCGAGAAGGTGACAAATAAAAGAGTTAAAGTCAACATAACTAGCTCTTTGGTTAAATACTTTTATATATGTCCAATACGGAACTAAGGAGGACTGACATTGATGCCCCGTCGTAGGCGGCGTAGTATATGGTCCATACGAACCAGCTGTGACTCGCTCCCGCGTTCTATATCATTGCATAGCGTGAGAGGGGTTGGCCAAGCTCCATCGGCATTGATCTATCGACCTCAAGATAGCGCTCGAGGTCATCTGCCCGCACCCAGTCGACCGGTACTCTGACAATAACTTGGAACAGGCCAAGGTCCGTATGCTGAACAATCCTGGTACGTAGGATAGCAAAGGACTCAACGGCTTTCTCCCATGAGGCGCAGAAGCGGTTCACATTGACATCATCAGACAGTTCTAGAACTGCTTGAAGCGTATAGTCCCCTGGTTGTTTAGATGTTAACGCAAAGAGGCCTTCTTGGAGAGGCGTGCAGGGATAAACATCTTCAATCTCAGTAGCGGAAACACCACAGCTGGACAAAAGGGCGTTAAGGTAGTATATAGAGTTAAAAATATCTCCTGCCAAGGAGAATAGCGAAACTAGAGTATAGCCAGCTACGGATTTACCGCTCCTAGAGATAGCCTAGGCCATAATACTAAGTTTAAGCGAGTGGAAGACGTCTATAACTAAGAGGGCGATCTAGTCCTTACGGCCCTCGGCTATAAGCTATATGGCGGTAATAGAGTCGCCGCCGAGCCGGAGAAAACTATCGTTAAGACCGATACTAGACGTATCGATATTGAGCATACGAGCCCAGAGTTCCTATAACTACCGTTCCGTATCCGTCGATAGCATTCGCTTGGGGGCCTTACTCTGGTCGAGCTGGTCGGCCAGGTCTTGGATAGAGAACCCAGCTACTATTTTGCGGAGTTGCTTACGATCCGTCTTACCCGTTACCGTCAATAAAAGGCGGGGCAGAGTAAAAATAACGGCCGGAATCATATAGTTCGGCAAGTGCTCCGCGAGCCTATCTTCCACATCACTTAGGATAGGGAGTAGGGTGGCCTGGCTATCGGCTGTAGTTATTACGTCCAATAGGAAAACAGTAAGTATAGGGCTAGCCCCGTCTCCGGACGGGACGATGACCTCGGCGGCGACCTGCTCGGCCTCCTGAGCTTATAGGAGACATGCGCGGATCTGGTACTTAACCTCGCTGAGCTCGACCCGCTGGCCGCAGATCTTAACTTGCATATCTTTACGGCCGACGTATATAAGGCTACCGTCCGGGCTATAGCGTACTAGATCGCCCGTCTTATAAAGAACGCCGTAGCGTCCCGGGTACTAGGGGGTTCCCTTAACTAGCCACATAGGATCCCGGATAAACGCGGCTACCGTCTTTTCCGGGTCCTTCAAGTAGCCGAGGCCAAGAAGAGGGCCTTCGAGGAGCAGCTCTCCGATATTGCCGATGGGCATAAGGCTATTATAGTCGGCCGGGTCGACGACCCAGGTGACTACCCCCGCACCCTTGCCGATGCTGGTTGCGGCCTCCTTCGTTTCGGGATGTGGATTAATGATTGTATTCGTAATACACTCGGCTAGCCCGTAGGCATTGATCAGGTTTGCATACCCCCACCAGCGCTCCGTATCGAAAAGTGTCACCGGCTCGCCGCCTCCTATAACGGTCTCCAAGAGGGGTAAATGGGTGGGGTCGAGCAATCGAGAGACGGACGTGGTAATATAGAGAATTGTCGCCCTTGTGGCGATGATAGACCCCATAAAGTTGTTCGTACGATCATCATCTGATGGAACACAGATACAACCACCCTTCACTAACGTGATAACGGTGTAGTAGACAAAATCGTCAAAAATGTAGTTAGCAAAGTCGTACACCCTTGACAACGGCTTGAACCCGAGCTCGTCCGCTTGATAGTGGGCGTTGGAGGCGAAAGCAGTGTGTGACACAAGAACACCCTTGGGCAGGCCGGTACTGCCGGAAGTGAAGACGGTATATATCAATGATGAAGGGTCGACGTCAGGCAGCGCTATTATCCGGCATGTGTCCGGGATAAGCCTATTACCTACTACAACGGCTTGCTCGACTAGTCGAGAGCCTAGCGAGTTCGTCGAGACCGATGTAAGAACGATGGTGGCATCGGCCTGCTCGACAATCGCATAGAGGCGTGGCTCGGGGTATGCTGGATTGAGTATAAGGAAAGCTCCTCCGGTCTTAAGGACGGCCAGGATCGACACGGACACCCACATCGACTTCTCGAAGTAAATAGGAACGATCGCCCCGGGACCGACGCCGATGTTAACAAGGTGATGGGCGAGGGCTGTAGATAGGTTGTCGAGTTCACCGTAGTTCAGGTCCCCGTCCTATGCTTCCACGGCTAGTACTTCGGGCCGTGACCTGGCTTGCTCTCGGATCCAGTCATGCGCGCAGCGCTCTATCGCCGGCGGCAGAGCACCGTTCCAACCCCAAAGTCTTTCCCTATCCTCGGGCGTGACCAAGCTAATGTCCCTTAGAGTTCTGCCGTCGGTACTCTCGCCCAGCTGTTCCATGACATGCAACAGCTGAGCGATCAGAAGGTCGACAGTGCCGACATCGATGACCTGTGTGTTGAAGTTGGCCACGACCTTGGTGTCTTCCTCGCTTATGAAGACGTCGAGAGAAAGTGAATCCGACGTGACTGGCGCGGCATGTGGCATCCTTGTCCAATCCCCGATGCTGTTGTCCATACTCAATGGTCCGCTCGTTCCTTGAACGATGATCAGAGTTCCGAACTGACACGCCTTCTGGGCTCTCGCGGATACCTTTGCGATGTTGGCCAGGCCGATAAAGTCGAATCTTTCCCGCAGAGACGTCTCTCTTCCTATGTCGTCGACAAACTTCGACGCCAGTTGCTCCCGGTCGACCTCGATGTACGCCGGCACAGTGCATATTGTTGGCCCGGCCACAAGCTTGACGTTCTCCATGTCCGTTCTTCTTCCAGAGGTGACTGTTCCAAAAACGACGCTCTTGGAGCCAGTCGTCGAGCTCATGACCAAACCCCAGGCTGCGTAAACAAGAGCCGATCGCTTGAAGCGTCGACCTTGCCAAATGACCTGTCTCGAGACATACATCTTCCTGACGAACCCCTTAGGCTCGGCCTTTGAGCGAGGCGGGCCGGGAAAGTCAACGCAGTCGCACTGCTTCAAAGACCGCCGCCAGTAGTGCTCCGCCTCGTTGAAATTCTTTTGCTGGAGATGCTGGATAAATGCTTTGAATTGTACCAGCTGAGAGGATGGTAGTCCGTGATACAGTTGTTGCACTCTTCTCGTGAGAATAGCCGAGAACCAGCCGTCCATTACGGCGTGGTGTACTGTCCAAATGAACTGGTGCTTCTTGCCGGCCTTTCCTCGGACCCAGGAGTAGCGAGAAAGAGGCTGGCCGAATTCCATGCAAGAGCTTCCGTCACTCTGCAAATACTCGTCTGCATCCTGCACCTCGGTCCATGTTATTTCCTCCCGGAGCACGACCTGCAGAAAGCCGTGCTGTTCGTCGTGGACTATTCTTGTTCGCAGGATCGCAGTGCTCCGGTGTATATCCTCCCAGGCGGCACGGAACCTCTCGACAGATGCCTCCGGGTTAATATCGAGGACGCTGTGCACAATGTACCCGGCTGAGTTCTGAGAACCCAACGTGAAGATGCTGACCTGCATGGGCATGCACGGATAAATGTCCTCGATGCTGCCGTTGTCAAGTCCATAGGAGGCTGCAATCGAATGGCGAAGCTGTTTCATCTCCTCTCCGACGATGAAGGGCAGAAACTCGGTCCTTCTACCACCCTCCCCGTCGTGAGGTTGAGAGTAAACGCCGAGCTCCATCGTGTCTTCAATTCCACGCTCACGTAAACAGAAGAATTCCTAGTTTCAGCAGATGAGTCCATTTGTTGTGCGTGAAATGGGATCATCAATGCAACTCACGGGTCAGCAACTTTCGATTTGGATCCGACGGGTTAAAAGACACGAAACCGTATACTGTCGACGTTCAAGATGCACAGACTGCTGACGTCCAATTTGACGTGATATATCCCATCGAGTGCTGCAAGGCGACAGTACATTGGCTCCACATAACGGGCCCCCTTTTACCCCGCACCGCATCTGGTACATCCACTGCTTGAGTTGCCCCTATGATTTCCACTCCGGTACATCTACCAAATCCATCATTACCAATACTCAATTAATGGATTCTGACGATTCTGACGGATCTGGCCGTTCCACGGGCTCGGCGAAGTCGTGTATCTTTGCCCTGCTGCCCGAGGACCTCGCCGCCGCCTGCACTGCCGACTGTACGCCGGAGCAATGTGATAATGCCACTGTTCGGCCCCGCGAGCCTCCGGAGGTTGAGCCCGGTATCCCTGGGCAGTTCGTGCCCTTCGAGGTGCCGCAGCGGCCCACGGAGGTCCGGAGCCTACCACCGCAGCCGCTGGACCTCCTCCTCGAGTTCGTGCCGGCCAGCCTCGTCGGCCGGTGGGTTAAGTGGACGAATGCGGTCCTATTACGACTTCAGCCGGCCCGTGAGGCGGGGCAGTTGGCAGGCAATTGCCTGGAACTTTCTCCTCGAAGTCATTATTATTAATACCTTTCGTCTTCAACAATGGGGAGATCCTGAGTGGCCCCGGGTTCAGAACCAGTATGAATGGCGTAGACTGCTTTCTGCCCACCTAATTCAGAGGTTTGGACCATTGGCAGAAGGTCGTCGACGGGGACGTCCAAGGAGGGCAACAGACAAAAGGAACGAGGCAGTACCGTGGCAATTACACGTACGAGGGCACAGAAATGCCAATTCTGCTTGCGTGGGTTGTAGTACGATATCGCAAGTAAAAGCGAGGACTGCGCTGGGCGAAATTAGTGGTAATATCCATACCCAACCGCAGCGGCGGAAGTACACGAGGATGGGCTGCCTCGAGTGCGATGTAGCTCTCTGTAACTCAGAAGATTGCTGGTACCGATTTCATACGCAGAATCTCTAGTAATTGGAAGTATCTATTATCAATTACGTTGGTTGGTTGGAAAAAGGGGCCCGAAGTGGCCCGATTGGCTGCTCCCCCGCATCTCAATGTACTGTCGCCTTGCAGCACTCGATGGGATACGTTGGTATAGCGTTTAGTCGCGACTAACATTGTGGGGCCCGTTGCCGACCGCTGCTGACCAGGACTTCGGCCCTGAACCTTACCCTTGGGCCAAGGCAGTCAGTCACCTTGACTTCGTTTACGATAGGTACCTAGGTGCCTAGGTAAATGGAGCATGGTCCCCACTGAGGCGTTTGTCGCGCCAGGCGGGCATATCCGTGCACTAATTACTAATGGTGTTATGGGTAAGTTTAAACCCCTGGGCGTGTACTTCTTCGCAGGCAGGGGGATGTGGCAAGGGGGCACTAACCAATGAAATTTCGGGCTGTAATGACGGCGAAAGGCAGCGAATCCGGCAGAAAAATAGCTGAACGTCGAAAATGGAAGATTTGTATTGCTATCTCAGTACTTCGTATGCATCCCATTGGCATCGATAACTGCCTGGCAACGCGCTGGCATGCTGCAAATAAGCTCTTCGAGGTACTCTTCCGGCAGGGCATCCCACGCCTCTTTAACCCATCGTCGCAGTTGGGGATAACTAGGCTTCTCGACCAGGCCGTGGGCATCCTCGATGTGGTCCTTCATTCAGTTCCAGCAGGACTCAATAGGGTTGAGGTCGGGCGATAGGATGGCCAGTCAACCTGGTCCTCCCTCTTACTTCGGGCAGAGTGACCTGGGGCGCCGTCTTGCATAAGAATGAGGTTCTCGCCGTATATCTGGCGGCATTGTTCAAGCCAGTTGTTGATGGCGGGCACGATGTGTTGTTGGTAGCTGGCAGCGTCAATATAGCCCCAATCCTTCTCCCAGAAGGCCCCAGGGCCCTTGCGGCACCCGTGGAAGCATCCCCAGAACATCCAGCCGCCCTTCTTGATATGCCGCTCGACAATACAGGTGGGATCCCATTCTTCCCCAGGCCTGCGGGTAACGTACTGCTTCCGGTGGTGGCCGCCAGTAATCCAGGTCTCGTCTGACCAAAGGATCCGACGCCACTGGTCGACGGTCCAGTTGACGTCCTCGAGAGCCCAGGCGAGGCGTTTTTGTCTGTTAGCTTCGGTAATAGGGGGCTTGCGGCGGGCGATATATCGTCGGAAGCCTAGGCGGCGTAGGGCTGCGCGTATAGCGTATACGCCCAATCGGGGTTAGTCTAGGGGTGCGGTCTGGAGAGGGTCCAGCCCCACAGATACCCATACAGGGGCTAAGACTTTGGCCTGATACCGCAGTACACTAGTGAAGTGTCTGAGGGGTCCATACAGGGCTACTCAACACTCCCTGCCCCAGCCCCTTCCGGCCCCTCTCACCGGCTTCCGAACCACCGTCCCATCCGTCCCATCGAAAACCACGCTATGTAGCTGGGTAAAAATGAAATGGCGCACGCCGCGCGAAAAGCGGACCGGATTGCCGTCAACTATCCTTCCAACCTTCCGGAGTACCTCCCTCCATGTCCAGTCCGCTCCATTCTCTGTGGCTGTGAAGGCAAGTGTGTTCGTTCCTCTTGCTCGATTCTTGTCATTGTCCCTTTTTTTTTTTTTTTTTTTTTTTTTTTTTTTTCGCCGTGGCGGCAAGAGCGCAGCCGCCCTTGCGGCCGACCTCCCGAAGGGTATATGGCGTGGAGAGCCGTCGCCCTATAACTATTGCTAGATACACATTGTCCCTTTACCTGCGACTACAGGCTCGTCGTTTCTTCTTGCCACCCTTATCTGTAACAATACCAAGCCAATCGATTCCATTCCATCTCCTCAGTTCGACACACCATCGCTGCTCCCGGAATTGGTGCGTGTTATCCAGTCTACCTTGGGTCGGCTATTTTGCGCTCGTCAGTACTCTCGAGCACATACAACCTTCTGCATTATCCTTACAATTCCCGGGCCTAAACACTGGTGTATTACCTGGTCAAATCTTGCTTCCACTTGTCATACACCATGGGCCTCGCATCTGATGCTCTCTATTTTGCGCTCCATCCGAACCAGCTGCTACTGATTCTCCAATGGTGGGTCCGAGAACTATGATGCTATCGGCATCACATTATCAGCCAGCAAAGATTGCTGACCATCGTCCTCGTCTCTGGCAGGAGACTACGACACGGTCCGGTTCATCAGAGGATCGTGGAGCGTGAGTCTGTAACAGCTAAAGCCTGTTTCGAGTTTCTGCATAAGACCAGTCGCAGCTTTAGCCGCGTGGTCAAGGAGCTGCATCCTGAGCTCCTTATGCCCGTTTGTGTCTTCTACCTGATACTACGTGGCCTCGATACCATCGAGGATGATACTTCGATCCCCCTCAAGGAAAAGGAGCCACTCCTCCGAGAGTTCAAAGATCGCCTGGAGCAAGATGGTTGGACCTTTATCGGCAATCGACCGGAGGAGAAGGACCGCCAGCTGTTGGTGCAGTTTGACATCGTCATCGCCGAGTTCAGGAACATGAAGCCTGTCTACCAGGCCATTATCAAGGACATCACGAACCAAATGGGAAATGGCATGGCTGACTTTGCGCGAAAGGCAGATTCTGGCGACGCCGGCGTGAATACCGTCGCGGAGTTTGACCTGTATTGCTGGTATGTGGCTGGCGTGGTCGGTGAGGGTCTCACCCACCTCTTTGTCGAGGCCGGGTTGGGCGAGGCAAACTTGATCAAACATTCTCAGCTTTACAAGTCGATGGGCCTCGCGCTTCAGAAAAACAACATCATTCGCGATGTTCGTGAGGATCACGACGACGGTCGTCGCTTCTGGCCCAGGGAGATCTGGTCCAAGCATGTCGATAACTTTGAGGACCTGTTCAAACCCGAAAACCTCGAGTGTGCGCTGAACTGCAGCTCCGAGATGGTTTTGAATGCTCTGGGGCATGCGGAGGATTGCTTGTCGTATCTTGTCAACCTACGCGAGCAGAGCGTATTCAATTTCTGCGCCATTCCCCAATCCATGGCCATGGCCACTCTGGAGTTATGCTTCCGCAACCCGGACATCTTCGCGAAGAACGTCAAAATCACCAAGGGGGACGCTTTTCAGCTGATGGTCGAGTCCAGTCAGGATCTCAGGAAGGTTGGTGAGGTATTTTGTCGTTATGTCCACCGGATTCAACAAAAGAACGACCCCGCGGACCCCAATTTCTTGAAAATCACCGCTGTATGCCAACAGGTGGGTATTAGTCACATAGACTTTCTGGCATGTTCTTGAGCAAGGGGCTGACGCTACTTAGATTCAGGAGTTTGCTGAAACTCTGGCACTCCATTCTGGCGAATGTTCCCGGACCGAGACTGACGACACGCGGCTGGTCCAGCGACTGGTCTTCCTCAATGGACAGGTTCGGTCTGCGGCAGGACAAGCACTGACCCTGATGGTTGTCGTCGCCGCTTTGGTGTCGATAGCAGCCTGGCTCGTTGGGTCCCGTTCCGATGTTGCCTAAACCTCAAACTGATGTTTCTGGATACGGTGCCTGAATTGCAAGGTCAACATGGCACGGTCGCGATCATCACTAAGAGTAAACTGCGATGTAGACTATACTTGCTAGAAGCTTTTAAGAAAGGTGTCGGATTGGAAGTCCAATTCGGCCGCGAGTAGGGGCAGAGCATGGGCCACCTCGAGGGGGTATCTGACGGAAACTATATGTACCCACAACTACCTAAATGCAGTAGAGGGATCTCTCTTTTGTATATGGCGCAACGGTACAATTCCGAATTCTGTCAGTATCCCATTGACTGCTGCAAGACGCCAAAAAACGGGTGGTCCACAAAAGCGCCCATTTTTACCCCGCACTTCAATCGGTACAAGGCGAAACATCATTTACCCCTATGTTTTTTTACCTACTATCACTACCAAAACCATCATTTCAACCAATGTTACGATGTCTTCTAGTGATTCTGATGCTTCCGATGCCTCTGTAACTACCGATACCTCTATACGGAGCTGTATATTTGTTAAGCTCCTTCCCGAAGACCTTGAAGTCGGCTGTACTGCCGACTGCACCCCGGAGAAGTGCGATAATAGCACAGTCCGGCTCCATGAGCCTCCGGCTGAGCCTGGCTTGCCCGGCTCCTTTATACCCTTTGATATACCGGCCCGGGACCGGCAAATACGGGACTTACCGGAAACGCCGATTAACCTTTTCCTCCGATACGTTCCCCGGAGCCTTGTTGAGCAGTGGGTCCGGTGGACAAATGCAGCGCCGATATCTAAGGAGGGCCCTCAGCCTAGACACTCAAGAGTGTATAAGTGGAAAAAGACCTCTATAGAAGAGGTATACCTCTTCTTAGGAATCCGTATTTATATAGGGATCCATAAGGAGTATGAACTATCAAGATACTGGGCAACTCAGCAAGAGAAAGAGGACCCTATTCATCTATTTACCCGGTTTATATCCCGTGACCGTTACCAAAGACTATCCCGGCAGCTGCGGATATTCGATACTTCTGAGTTCCCTAGTCAGTCTAGCCATGGCCGGTGCCGACGCCGGCCCCAGGATAATTCAATACCGGATACGTATCGGAAGGTTAACGGGTGGTCGGCCCATATCCAGGATACCGGGGACTCCTTCTATACGGCCGGCTCTGACCTTACCGTTGACGAGGCTATGGTCCGATTCACAGGCCGGTCCCTTGAGACAACAACAATCCCGACTAAGCCGATCCCGACCGGCTTCAAGATATGGATTCTTGCCCAATCAGGCTACTGTCTCCGGTGGCTCTGGCATATCCACGGAAAGGGCCCGTACGGGCTAGTCCCACAGGCCCGGCCAGCGCCGGATGACGAGGCGGCAAAGCAGGCCCTTTTAACGCCGACGCAACGGGTTGTAACGACCCTAGTTGCCCTACTTCCGGCTGCAATCTACCACGTCTTTTTAGATAACCTCTTTTCTTCTGTCCGGCTCTTCCGGGCTCTCCGGAAGCAGCAAGTCGGAGCTTCTGGCACCTGCCGGAAAGATAGCGGCATAGATAAGATCCATATTGCCGAGAAAGCAACTGAAGGACAGGATATCCCTTGGGGCAAGATACATTATATCCCTACTTTAGATGGGGAGGTATAGTGTTATAGACTACCTTCTAAGGATATCTCTATACTAATCAGTTCTTCTAGGTTAACCAGTTCACCTGGAAAGAAAATGCTATTGTACTCTTCTTGACAACAGTCTTCCGGGAAGGCCAGGATATTATTCGGAGCCGGCGCCGGCCAACCGGAGATACTGCTGCAAAGCGGGCTACCCGGAAAGTCTTCGGCGCCGACGTCCGGAAGAACCTGCCAGTGCCGGCACCAATAGACGAGTATAACCATAAGATGAACGGCGTTGATGTTAGTGACCAGATGAGATCCTATTATCAATGGGGCCACCCTATCCGGCGAGGGGGCTGGCAGGCAATTGCTTGGGACTTCCTGCTAGACCTCGGCCTGGGCAAGCTAAAGATAAAAGGAATACCTCTATTCCTTGGCAACACCATACAAAGGGATCGAGAAAGGTTAATTCGCGGTGCTCTTATTGCAGCAGTAAAGGCGCATTATCTCGCCGAACTGCCTCATCCGAGATATCTGGAAATAGCCTTGCGCAGCCACGGCCTAGATACACAAGAAAGGGCTGCTTAGACTGCAATGTACCGCTTTGTATCAACAGAGATTGCTGGTACCTCTGGCATAACCAAGATAACTAGAGAATAGAAGTACCGGAAATCCTAGCTTATCATTGGATAGAGTATATGAAACCACAAGCCCTTATTAGCCGTACCCCGCATGGCGTCTTGCAGCAGTCAATGGGATACTTAGACCTCGACTACCCACCCAACCTCCGGTTGGAATCTCCCTTCTACTCCTTACGCAGAATCAGTCAATACAGAGATATTGATACTTCGTCACCCACAGGACCCTACGGTTCGAACCAACATCCCTGTGATAGGGATACCAACAAAAGGCAACTACCAAAAAGGCTCAATTGAAGAGGGCCTTAGCTTTCATTGTTGTGCACCTTTATTCTCCTTTACAAGTTCGGACACGGGCTTATCAGAAACTCAATCCTCGTATGAGACAGCTGCACCTACGCAGAAGAGCTACCCGCAACAACTCAGGGTCACGACAGGATCTTATCCACCACCTCAAGGTAGAATAAACCATGGTGAGGTTCAATCCTCTATTGAAATTCTGTAGTCCGTCGAGTAGGCTTGTTATCAACTCCAGCCTGGGATAGTCCATCCAATATTAGGCCATACAGATCGGAATGAGGTACACAATACGATTGACTGTTTAGTTTTGTCCACCCTGACATAGATCATACATAATAAGGTTGATTTCTTCGTCTGGTTGTTTGACGCGATGGAGCGGCGCATGCAGACGATTGTTTGAGAGTTGCTGGAAACTGTCGCCGACGTTGACGATGGGCATGTTTTCCAGAACCTCAACCACTTTCCACTCTCCGGTTAGGGGCTCGAGTACTTCGAGAAACGGCTCGTCATAGAATGTAATGGTTAGTAGATCCTCATCTAAATGAGAATCCATGAGTGATGTCCCAGCCGGTGTAGTTGCCAAACCCAGACACATGTTGCTCAGTCCAGGACCTTCGGCATTGTTAAAAGACGACGTTAAGACAGGAGGATCAAGGGACTCGCACAGTAGTGTCGACAGGTCTCTGAGAACGGTGTCCACAGACGAGGCCACGTTCTCGATTTTGGCTTCGACAGTCCGTAAATCCGCCGGCAAATCAAGTGTGCCCCGGATTTGCTCGCTGCGGGACAACTGTGAGACGGACAGGTTAATTTCGTTCACCCTGACAGACGGGCGTAGGAGCCGGAGTTCCCGGATAAGTTGATTCTGATGAGAAATGTCAAGTTGCCAACTAACTAACCTTCAGCCTTTGGACGCAAGTCTCGTCTGAACAATCGTACCTGCGGGGAATTGGTTAGTCTTTGCCCCCTTGGATCGGGTATTGATTGAAGAGGATGGACCCAAAACACACGAGGACGTACTCACCCATGGTTCTCCAGGTTGCTCGCGTACCCCAACTTCATTTTCGACTCTTGTGCAAAGAACCTGCGCTGGGCGTGGACAATGGGCTGCAGGTCTGCCAAGACCTTCTCCGTACTCGGACCTCGCAGATCCAAAAAGAAAACGCCAGCACTGCGAGATGCTCGGCCGAGCTTCTCTATCTCGCCATTGTCCCCGGCCTTTAGACGCTCGTAGTTGAGGACTTGTAGCCGCATGACGTTGGTCGTGCTCGTCTCGTCACCCCACCATCACGGCGAAGCGAGAGTGAGGTGGCAATGATGTTGCAAGGATGACAGCCTCTGAACGCCGCGCGGACTAAGCTTGTCCATACAGGGAGCAAAAACGTTGCGGACGTGGCCGCTCAGCGAATATATTGTCCAGCACGCTGACTAATAACTCTCGGGCACGACTTCTGGGGGTATGTCCGTGAGGACCGAGGCATTGAACCAGTCAGAGCCCAACAGTGCTTTGCAAATTGCGCCACATGTATGTAGTCACGCCGCCCTGCTACAAATGCAGGCAGCGCCGGTGGGCGGTTGCGGCAACGACCGACGGTGTGCGGGAACACCGTTTCCATGCTACCCTAACGGTGAACAACACGCTGGGAATAGGTGAGTCGACGGAGGGGTTTCTATACCAGGCGGGATGGCGTGGTCTTGAACGACTGGTCAACTATTACTCGTCTGCTCGACCAATGGTCGGACTGTGGTCAAGTACTTCGGTACTGCGGCCGCATGCTCGACGAAAGTTCTTTGCAGCAGGACCCATTAGCAGTATGGCAGCGACGCCGGCCAAGTCGGCGTAGGCGACGACGATGATAAGCCTGGGCCACTACACTTAAGCGGACAAATGATATACGTGTATTGAAGTGACGCAATATCAGTTGGAACGGAACTGATTTCTTCATAGGAAGGTGTTGCTATGGAGTCAGCTGTGGCACAGGCGCTGTCCGGGGTTCCACCTCTGTCAAATTATCCTTACAATCTTCAAACCCGGTATGGTCAGCACTTGATTGATGAATTTCATTGGGTGAGTGAGCTTGGGGGAGTGGGTGAGGTTTATGACAACACTTGCTTCATTTCGAGTCGCTCCGCTCCGTGTACTTTAAATATGGAGTTACACTCAGCTGGCAGGTGCTGGGGGGCCGCAACAAGAAGCCAGGGAAGTTTTAGAAACACACCTTTCATTTCGAGAATGGGTCCGCACCCCTGGTACGTCAAGTGAGCTAGCGGGGGGGGGGGGGGGAGGGGGGGGGTAGCATGATAACCGGAACCCTAGGCTTAGTGACTCCCGAACTCCACTCTTACTGTGGTGTATGCTTAAAGACGTAAACTTTTGTAGTGGAACCTCTGCTTCTTTGACAACCCATCAAGATGTTAAATGCAACGTCGTGTTGGAGCTACAAGTGCAAAAGGCCGGGGTGGGGAAACTACTTTTCTAATAACTAAGGTAATTGATGATTTCTCCATTCCTTATCTCCCGCACCCCACCCTAGATGGAACTTTTGAACCCCTGGGGCTTGTTGGACATTCGAGCCTCTGCATCTAGAGACATTTGGCCCTGTAGCTCCCTTGCCCCTTGTTATGGTCCCAGTTATGGGCTGGGCCCAGCTCATTCAACCGTAGGGGTGCCATAGTATTGAGTAGGTGCTCAGGAAGCTCAGCTAAGTAGCTGCGTAGGCGCCGCGTAGGCGCCACGTGGGCGGCGAGCAGCAGTAGAAAACCTTGCGCTTAGGAACACTTGGCCTTTCCCACTAGGCCATCGTCAACATCCAATTACTCAACACCGACTGCATGTTATGAGCCGAAACCCAAAGGGTCCTCAGGGATGTGGCGCCCCGCGGCGCCGTGCCCCTGACTTCTGTTGGTCATGCCTGGGGCATCCCTCTTTGTACACGGAGAGGCCAGACTGGGTGATAGGGCCCGTATGGATCCACGCTGTGGGTTGGTGATTGACCAGCCCAAGGAAGCCCGGGAGAGGCCGCGGAAGAGATCGAGTGGTATCTATGGTCAATCCGGAGCTATAGAAAAAAAAAAAAAAAAAAGAGAACAGACCGATGTACTGCAGGGTACCGGCCGAGAACAGGTCAGCCACAGTAGTGATGGTCTCGAATTATTGAGAGACTAAGGTCAGATATAACTGCTACTGAGAAAAGTGATAACGTCCGACATCCACTTGTGGGCACCACTCACATTTGGGCACCGCAAAAATGGCATTGCATTTTTCGATGCATCAACTTCGCCTTATTATTCCGCCACTTCTCATGCAACTACAATACAACTTCCATCGTCACCAGGGTCTTCAGGCTCGCTGGAATGATCGGCTAGATTCATCTAAGCTATTGTCAATTCCCCCCGCCTCGAGCTAAGCTTGTCGTATGGCCTCAAAATTGGCAAACTTTGAATTGGGGCTCATCTTTACCTTCCTCCTCTTCTTCACCCTGTTGGCCTCTGCTTCTGCTTCCAATGCCTTGATCCTTCGCTGAGCTACTGCCAGTTGGTAGGCCTACTCGTTAAAGCCCTTCTGGACCTTGCGAAACAATAGACGTTGAGTACTGATATTATTGTCTAGCTAGCTGAATAAGCTGAGTCGATCCTGAAGGTCATCCCTCCTCCTGGGAGTTGACCATGGCACTGCTGATGACTCTGTTGCCCATTTCTCGCTAGCACTACCCCCAGCAAGCTGATTCGTCTGCTTGGCTGGGGTTGCTGTATTCTCAAGCAGCAAGGGGCTCATGAGGGGTCTAGCTATATTGACTGGCCATAGACCAGTCCACTACCAACCACTGACGATGTTTTTACTCGTCAGGCCAGCCTGACGAGCAAGGTGATAGCAGAGGAGGAATTTCCTCTTACCAGTAACGGTACTACAGTCACATTGGCTATGATACCCGAGTCAATTCTTGTATGCTGTCTTGAGTTGCCCAAAGTGTTGGTATACACGTCAGCAGGGCAACCGTACGGTTGGAACGAAGTGTCAATAATGGTCTATTATTGCTGCGTCTTGAGGTGGAAGGAGGAGGTTGTGGGCAGAGCCCACGGCCTCTCAGAAGTGGTATGTAAGGGGTCGTTTGTAAGTGCCCATACCGCCTTCCAGATCCACCTTTTCTGCCGACTGCTCAGAGATCCAACACAAAGACCGACCGATCGAGAGGTTGAAGCACGTGGGAAGTATGTGGTGGTAGGAATAGCAAGTGTATGTGACTATTAAAGCAAAGATGCATAAACGCTGTTGTCGCGTGGGTACCATGACCGTCCAGGATGAATAACCTCCTCTTCTGGGTTCCTCTGGGCAGTCGATGGGATGAACACCTTCTCTAGCCACTCAACAGCCGTAGAGTCTGACGTCCACCCATTTTCTGTTGCTGGGAACTTTCACGACTCATATGTAGTTAACTTGAGAGGAAACCACTGTTGTTGGACACTCTTCACCTTACAGATCACGAGTGGAGGTAGTGCCCTGCCTGTTGTAGAGATACACTCGATGAGAGATGTATAAGCACGTGACCCAGGCTGTTTCTTTGGAACAGAGCGAGTCTCCGCTGGTCCCAGAACTAGTCCATTGGATCCTATGCCCTGTCTCATCCACATTGTATTGGTTGACTGCTTTGATCGCCTTGATCTCAGGTATGGCGAGGTATCTGAACCAGTGAACCATGGCCTGGTCGTATTAGCTGAGGCTCCATTGGCACGCTGGGAATCGATCGCTCTGCTTCTCTGGACCTTGATTGATGGATTGATCCTTGAAAATGATTGAACCCGGCTCTTCCCAAGAGGTTGGGAGCCTCGGATTCGATGCTGAAGAGTTGACCGTGGGACAATCCATCCTCGTGATGCTGTTTTGATAGTGTCGGAATGGAATATCGCTAGCGCGGTTCGGCCGGTCGTGCCGATTCGGATCCGGGATAGCTACGGCCGAAAGGGAGGATCTCAACCCTGATATCAACCCCACCTCGGCCACCAGCCCCTAGATAGCTTTTCCCCCTCTTCACGCAGAATAAGGATAATAACAACAACAGTATTATCCCCTCCGTCACCCATGTTACCGTATACGGTATATCGAATCCCCTGTGATTCCAACAGATAGGTTGACCGTTCGCGATGACCTCAAGAGCCTGGTTAATGTCGTCTTCGGTTTATTGAATCATGTAAGACCAAAGAAGCTCTATAAGAAGTTTCGTAGCGAGTGAGGTAATATTGGTTAAGAGATGTAAAGTTGACGGTGAGGGGTAGTCATGGTGGTGAGGCATTTTTGGGGTGCCCAAATGTGGGTGTCGGACGTTAATACCTACGTACCTAACTTTGACGGGTGCTTGGCTCCAGTCCTTGCCGTCTGCAGGTATCTATGCGAGGAGGTTAAAAGAAACCCCCTTTCCCCTGGTCAGCTGTATTTCCCTTCGATGGCGTGGCAAAAGGGTCACGGGGCGGTGCCTGGCCCCCTAGTTCACCGGCCGCCGAGTCGATCTTGATAATTCCAGCCAGCAGCATAAACTTAGGACAACTTCAAGGGCAGTCAGAAGGAAAAGCACCTTTCTTAGTACAGAATCCGTGGATGTACCCAGCGACATAAGCTTTCTTCCCGTGCTTCCGGAACTGCGTCGTCTTATTGCAGTAGTGCTCAAAATTCTTCTTCAAATGCGTCCTACACTTAGGGGGCATAGCGTAAATGCAACTAGTTGGCGTACCAGCCGGTCTTCGAGGCGATCACTACATACAGTGGCCGCGTTAGTGACATGTTGAATAATATGATCAATATTAAGCTGGAAGCACACCAGGTTGCATCTGGGACAAAATCTGCATGTAATGAACTCATAGAAGAGTTCCGCAAAGAAATTGGTCCCATCCAGCATGTTTTCCACGACCACTGCCAAGTTCTTCCCCGAAGAGATCCAACTTTACTTCAAGCATTTGATAGCTGTTAGTAAGTCATCGATATCCGGCAAGGTCCAATCTCAGTCTACTTCGACTCCCTGTGGCGGCGTCGGCGGTGCCACCCGCAGCTGACTACGAGGCCATCGCAGGCGTGTATAAGCTCCGAAAGGCCCTGCTAAGGTGCTGTTAAGGATTGGGTGGCGGCGCAGTGAGGGCATTAAAGTTTGCACGATCCATCTGGAACAGAAGAGGTTTTCTTCCAGAGGTAAGTTTGATGTATTGATGGCAAGATAATTCATAACTACTCGATATAGACAGATCAGCGGTTGTGCTTTTGGCCCTATTTGTGCCATGGGGACATACAGTTAATACATTAGTGGTCCAGCCTATGGAAAGAGCTCCCAGCGAGCTTCTTCGGCGTTTAACAACATCGTTAACAATTGACATCAAGCTCTTACATAAGAGCGCAGAGGAAGCGAAGAAGGATGCAGCTCTATGGGCAGTTTGGATTGAAGTTGGCGAAAGATTGAGTTTAAGGAGCTTAGGAGCGTTTTGCTCCTGGCATGGCGTGGCAGTCAGACAAGTTAGACTTTCGGTACACTTTCCACGACGCTATTGCTAGCTTGCGCAATGGGTAGTGTGTAATCAAAGACTCCCCGAGTCTCCAAAGACTACTCGATTCGCTGGATGAGTGTGAATTTGCCAGTACATGTACCGAGTGTAACATCAATGATGGAAGTGCGAGACCCGAAAACTTTCTCAATAGCATACACCACTCATCTTGTCGAAGCAAGACCTGAATGCCGCCAAAGTGGCCCAGGACCAGCTCCGTAGAGAAAGGATGCTAGCCATCGAGGGCGACAAAGTCACCAGAGCACCCGTCTATGCCGGCGAAGAGACGGGTTTCGGTGAAGACGCGACCGGTTCTCTGTTGTGGGCAGTTATATGTCTTATTGGGAGCGTCCTTTAACAAACATTTCACTGGACTGACTGTGTATAGTTAGACATCGGTGTAGTGAGGCTTCACATATCACTAGAATGACACTGTGAGTGCCCACCGACTGAGATGAACCCTGTTTGTTTGTGTCTTCTTTCCCTTGCATCAGAGCGTTCTCGCCTTGTCGAGAGCCAAATATCAATTCCCATGATGAACTACATAGCGACTTGGTTCCAGATCGGAAGCGCTCTATGAGTGCTAATCGAATGTAATCTCCCAGACTTAAGAATGACTGGCTTCGAATGATAGTCATGGCGTTGGCCTCAACACCAAATTTCTGGTTGACCCAGTTCCGAAGTTCCATTGCAACAAGAGAGTCCACACCAACAGCGTCAGGAGAGTATTCGACTTTGATGCTGTCCTTTTCCTTGATCAGAAAGGTTGCCATGGCCAGTGTAATTGCTCTGGCAATGATGGAGGTAGTGCCTTCCTCTTCCAGGACGACCGGTCGTGTAGCAGCCGACCGCAGAAGGGTTTCGATGCTGTTTTCCTCAGAGGATGCCTCCTCAAAGGCCTCGGCAGAATCTTCGACGTTGTGGTAGACGCTCGCACGAGGGTCTCGCTTCCAGACGACGTGGTTATAAGGAGACGAGATGGGTAGCGTCGTGAGGAAGCCAAGGATTATCTGACCGGGATCAATGAAACAAGAATCGCCGAGTGCTTCCATGCGCTGTGGCTTCGATCTGCGGATGGCGAGGTTCAAGGCGTCAAGGAGGTCCCATTCCTTCAAGATGTGCATCCCGGACTTCTGGAAAATGTCCAGGGTGTCCTGGTGTTTCGAGACGAATCCAACCTCCCCCATCACGCCGATATCAATTACGCACGCGGCCAGGTTGTTGCCACGTCGGTACTGCACAAATGCGTCGAGGAACGTGTTCGCGGCAGCGTAGTTGGCTTCGCCCCATTGCCCGACGATGCCACTATACGAAGAACACAGGATGAAAAAGTCCAAGTCAGAGGGTAATGCATTGTGCAGATTCCACGTTCCCTGTACCTTGGGAAGCACAGCCGTCGTCCAGTCTGCGAAACTCATCTGGCTGAGTGAAACATCCTGCAAATGATGGGGAGGATTAATAGTCATACTTCGAGAAAGTAATGAAGTAGGAGAGAAAGAAAAATTGACGGAGCGAAGGGGGGGCACGGTGTTTGTTACCTTCAAAACCATGGCTAAATTGATGACGCCGGCGATCGGCCGTGCCGCTGTCTGGACAGCCCTCTCCACATCTTTGACGTTGCAGACACTTCCTGCTACCAGCTGAGACTCGCAACCCTGGGAGGCTAGCTCCTCCAGGAAGTCTCGAAGGCCAGGGCCGGCTTTGGCGGATCGTGACAGGAAGATGAGGTGACGGGCGCCCTGCTCAACCATCCAGGTAGAAACAGCCCTACCCAGGCCCCCAAGACCGCCTATCAGCAGATAGCTGCGATCGGGGCGCAAAACGGGCGCAGGCTTGATCCTGGTGCTTTGTATAGCACTGTGATCATACGGCATTCTGATAATGATTTTGCCAATGTGACGCCCAGGCTTCATGAACTTAAAAGCGTCCTGCACCTCTCCAGCCTCAAAAGTCTCGGCTATGACAATAGGCCGAAATAAACCCGACCGAATCCAGCTCACACAGCGTTGTAAGGCCCTAGACAGATGTGAATATGTTGGAGACGATGTGCCTAGGTTCCAGCTTCGGGATTACTTACTCGGCAGCTTGCTCGGGATGAGTGTGGAAGATCTGCCATAAGTCAAAGCCAACAAAGGTACGATTGGCCTCGAAAAGCTCCATGGAAAGCTTCGATCGTCGGCGGAAGTCGCGTTTTCCAATCTCAAGTATGGTCCCGAAGTCCGCCACGCACTTCCAAGATCGCGCGAAGGAGATCTCCAGACAGAGAATTGAGCACAACATCTACGCCTCTGTTGCCGGTTGCACTCATGACATCGCCTAAGAACGACGCGTCACGAGAACTAAAAATATGCGAGCCTGGGATGTTGTGATTCTCGACAAGATACTGAACCTTGTCCTCGCTCCCAACGGTGCAATATATCTTTGTTGATGTTAGAAGATGAGAGACAGGAGGTGGGAGACTTGATCGGAAAGTATAAAACACGCAGAACACGGGAGAAAGTTGAACAAGTAAAAGAAGAATGGAAGGAAGAAAGGGAAGAGAAAAGGGAGCTGATGGGGGATGAATACGGACCTCGGCACCAATCATCTGCGCAATTTGAATGGCTGCTAAGCCGACACCACCGCAGGCGGAATGAATGAGAATCGTCTACCGTTCAAGCAACATCAAAGAGTTAGCGGAGCTCGGCCTTTTGAGAGAAAAGTTGGTAGTGTGGCCTTACCTGTCCCTGTTTCAGGCCCACTCTATCAACAAGCGCCATCATCGCGGTTGCGTAAACAGAGGGTAATGCAGCTCCTTGCTCGGGGGTTATGGAGTCGTCGATGCGGACACACGAATTTTGGGGCAGCACTATGTGTGATGCGAAGCACCCGCTTGAGAGGTGAATTACCCTGTCTCCAATGGAGTAATCGTGAACTCCGGGGCCGATGCCTGCGATCACACCGCAAGCCTCCGTACCAATACCCCGCGTACTATGCTCGAGAACACCGAGGGAAATCAGGACATCCTGTAACGGGCGTCAGTATGGCGCGGACTTTCGAGAGTGACAGGGGGTAGAAAAACCCTGAAGTTCAAGCCTATGGCCTCAGTTCTCACCAGCACCTCGCCTGAGCCCGGATGCTGGGGTTTCTTGTCGCTCCATAGCATGGTATTCAATAGCCCCGGTGTCTTGAGGGTCAACTGCTTCCACGAATGCTCCTCGTCGGAACAGCCATTTGCGAAAGCATCCAACATTGTCTGCCAGTGAAGCCGAGGAACGAGCACCTTCCCGTCAACAATCGCGTACTCCCAGTCCGGGTCCATTGATTCGGAATATGACTGGCTTGACCGAGCCCGCACAAGAAGCCTTGCGAGAAGATCGGTCGCGGTAGATGTCAGAGTCCTGTCGTCTATCTCGACTGTGAATAACTTGGCCGAGAGCTCACTTCGAGCTGTTCTAGCGAGTCCCAGTATCATAGTACTTCTAGGGTCTTGGCAGCCAACTTGCGACGATGGCGTGGCCCAGATCATCCTCCCTTCAAGTGCTTGAAGATATCCAATGAGCGTATTGAACGTTTTCTTCGAGAATTGGTGTACCATGGGCTCTTCCAAGTCAAGTACGGATATCAAGTCCTGCTGACTGATCAAGGCCTCGCCAAAGACGCAAATGTCGGCTGCTATGCCCAGTCGCTCGAGACTCTTCTTTGTCTCCTGGACATAAGGCCCCTGGGGCTTATAGCACATCACGGTCACCCTCGAGGGCTTGTTATCGCTGAGGGCGGGCGCTGCGATGATGCCCGCGCTCGAGTGGTACGGGGCAATTCCATCGAGGTGAATAGCATCTGGTTCCTTGAACCCCGCGGCGATCAGCTCCTTTGCCCATCGGTCTGGCGATACGTACGGTTCGCTGGCGCGACCGTCTTGCATTCCAAGCCACCAGCCGGGGAGAAAGCCCTAGGAGATGGCGTCAAGTTAGCGTGGAGAACAAGGTTAGACCAGCCGAAAGATCCGACTCAGGTTGGTGCTGCTGGCCTTGGCTTACCATGACGTAGTTGATGAATTTGGCATCTGCTTCTACTGTTAGCACGTCTCGAGAACGTGTTGCTCGAAGCACGGATTGTACTCGCCTGGGCAGAGCTCTTGCAAGAATAACCGGCCTGCAGGGTTGAGGAGGCTTCTGAGATGACCGAGAGTAACCTGTAGGCTTGGCGTAGCATGAACGACCTTGGGGACATTGACAGTCAGTAGAGGCTTCGGACTCGTGTCTGCATGTGTCGCAAAAAGGGAGTAGGGAGAGGGGGAGCTATGCCCACATTTGTTCCTATAATGAGGTCGTAGTTGCCCAGCTCGAATCCCTGCTGGACAGGATCCTGGCTTATGTCAAGTACGGCGTACTGCATGTTCGGGGCGCCGGCGAAGCGCTCCTTGGCAGCAGGCATGAAGCCGCTGGAGATGTCGGTGTAGGTGTAGCTGCCATACAAGCGCTCTTCGTACGGCGACCTAAGCGCCTGCAGCACTTTGGCAGTTGTCCCGCCGGTGCCGGCACCGACCTCAAGGATCCTCATTCGAGGGTTCGTATGTGCGACCGCCCGGATCAGCTGCGAGTAGTCGAGAACGTCGACGACGTTATAGAACTGAGTAAGCACGCCGTCCTCGAGGAGGACATGCAGTGGGTTGGTCTCGCCGTTGAAGATACTGTCGGCAGCCTTGAACAAGCGGTAGATCGCCTCGGAGAACGGTGCGAATTCGGACGCCGATACTCGTGCCGCAAGCTCTTCTATTCTCTTGAGTCTCTGCTCACTGTCCCACGCCCAGAGTCGAAGCTCCTTAGCGACGAACGGGTTGGACCCAGTCCTGTATTGGTCGATATGGTCTTGTGCCCACGTCAGAAATTTCAAAAGATGGGGTGGTGCCTCGCCGGACGGCTTGATTGATTCCCGGTGATCAATGATATAGAGGAGCATGAGCTCCTCCAGTAGCGCCCACTCCTCCGGGGAGCCCGTCCTGGGACGCATGGTGTCGTCCAGCTGGACAAAGTCGACGTGAGGTCTCCACTCCAACCGTGTAACGAGGCGGGCGTCTTCGCCTGCGGCGTCGCTGCTTGCGAGCGCCGTCGTCCTGAGGCCCTTCAGGCGGACGGCCGTCTGTCCGCCGGTTGTGTGGGTTGTCAGGTCCCCGGCGAACGACCCGCGCTCTAGCCTGTTGACAGTCGCGATTGCGCGCAGGTCATCGCCGGTGGTTGGTACGATAGTTATTTCCTCGATAAAGGTTGGCACGGCAATGTTTCCATAGTCCCTACCCAGGCCTCGATAGGCCGCGACCGTGAAAAGGTGGAAGCACTGGTCTATGATGGCGGGATGGATTGCGTACCCCTTAGCCTTGGCCGTCTTTTGCGTCGAGATAGTTGCGACTGCTCTCATGTCTTCTGTTGCGGCTGAGATCTTACGGAGTCCTCGGAACAGACCGGTGTAGTTGAAGCCGACGCGGTTAAATACGACGTACCAGTCACTTTCGTCCACTTTGCGAGGCAGTTGAATGCTCGGTTCGGGTGCGTCGAGAGCCAGTGTGACAGACTCATCCCTCAACAGCCTCGCCTCGCCGGCGCAGTGTCTTACCCACCGTGTGCCGTCAAACGAGCTGATGCTGAACGAATGGCAGGTGGCCTCGTCGGTTGATTCCGCGGTGGTTGGGGTGAGACTTGTCACGAGCTCCGCCACAGTACCGTAGGTGAGGACCAGACCGGCCGTCATGGTGACGTTGCTGAGGCTGAAGTTCCGTTCACCGCCGTCCAACTGTCGGATGGCCTCGCCGACCATGCAGATATAGCCTGCGCCGGGGAACACGACTTGCCCATTAAAGACATGACCCGACAGCCAACGAACGTCCTCCAAAGCGAGCTTGTTTCTCCAGCATGGCTCGCTGGCAACCTCGGCAACCCGGGACCCAAGCAGTTCGTGATGGGCAAATTTGCGGAATCTCCAATCTCGTGCCACGCGAGGCTCTGCCCAATAGACGTTCTCGTGTGTCCATGAGTATCGCGGAAGGTTCGCCACCTGCCGGCCTCCAGTACAGATGGCAGTAATGTACATGGCCACGTTCTGCTGGTAGAGCTTTCCTGCCGAGTGAAGGAGACTTTCCTCGCAGTCCTTGTCCCTCAGGAGGGTTGCCACGTGCACGTCCTCCATCCGATCCAAGTCTCTCAGTATCTGGCCCACTGGTCCCTTAAGTGCCGGGTGAGGTCCAACCTCGATAATGACGACCCGCCCGTCTTGGTCGCCCAGCGCCGCTCGGAGGGCGGTGTTGAAGAGAACGGGGTTTTCCATGTTCTGCCGCCAATACGCCGGCCCGAGACATCCGTCGCCGGTAAGCCTCCCCCCTGTAACGGACGAGTAGAACGGTATCGCGGGAGACAGGGCCCGCACGACGGGCAGTAAATGCTCCTCATACAGAGGCCCATACTCGAGCATATGATCTATTCCATCCCGTCAGCGCGTCTCGACTTTTCATTATCCAGTCGGCTTAGGACGGGCCAGGGCCGTCATCGACTTACGTGAGTGAAATGCCTTCTCGACCCGCAGGAGGCGTGCCAGGACGCCAGGTCGCTTCTCCTTGACGTTTCTCACGACCTTCTCAACCAGATCGGCATCTCCGGACACGGTCACGCTGGATTGGCTGTTTTCGCAAGCAACGACGACGCCCGGCTCCATGTATTGTCTCACCTCAAGCGTCCCGAGGCCGATCGCTGCCATCGAGCCACGTCTTTCGGACGCCTTACCGCTGCTGTAGCCTCGGAAAGTGGCAGCGACAATCGCTGCCTCGGCTGTTATCGCCCCGCTGGCGTACGCCGCGGCCATCTCGCCGGAGGAGTGTCCGACCACGAAGTCCAACTTCACATTCCAGGACTTCAAGATGTCGATCAGGCCGATTTGCACGGCAATGGACAGTGGATGGCCCAATTCCGCCATGTGCACGCAGCTCCCACCAACTGCCTTGCGTAGTTCCTCTGCATCGTTACATTAGTTACAGTAGACTTGATGGACGGTGGCTGATGGACGCCCAGCCTGCCTACTCGCTCACTTACCCTCAATGGTCCAACTAGGAGGCTCCGATATTTGCCGCAGATGCTTGTCTAGTTTCTTGATGGTTCTTTGAAACACTGCATTGCAGTCAAGAAGCCCTACGCCCATCTGTGGCCATTGGGCGCCTTGGCCAGTGAAGATCCAGCCAACACGCGGGGACGGCTTGACGGCTTCCGGTACTGATGTCACCAAGGTGGCGGAAGCGTGTCCGAGCACCGCATATGCCCGATGGCTTTTGTGGTCGCGTCGGTTGGCCAAGGTGAATGCCACATCCTCCAATGAAGCTCTAGATCCCAGAAGGTACTGCCTATACGCTTCGATGTATGCCTCAAGTGACGCTTGACTGTAGGCCGAGAAGAGTAGGGCGTGATGCTGTTTTACGGTTACATCACCATCAATAGTGTTAGGAGAGTTATGGATGTCGCTTCCGTTGCCGTTGCAGCCGGAAGCGCCGTCAGGGGTTCGGTTGCACATGCCATACTGATGCAGGGATTCGACGACGACCTTGGCTCGAGCTATTAGAGTGGCATCCCCAGCAGACGCTTGTGCTTACTTTCACTCACATGGGCATTAACACCACCTATGCCAAAGGAGTTCACGCTGACTCTTTCGGCTCGGTCATTGGGCCAAGCTTCGGTGTCGACGGGTACGTGGAGTTTGCACTCTGGAAAGGGACTGCATGAGAGAAAGAGTCTAAGCACAAGTTCGCGCGTTTCCCGGGGAGATCCCACTTACTTGTAGGGTTAGGAGTTTTAAATAGGATGTTTGGGGGCACCAGACGATGCTCGATGGCTAGAATCGCCTTGATGAGGCTGGTGAGGCCTGCGGCGCCCTCGGAGTGTCCAACATTGGGCTTGACCTAACAGCATGAGGAATTAGCTATAGGGCCTAGAGGGGCTATCATCAGAGGCGGCGTGGGAGGGGGGGCCTTTTATCTACCGATGTGATGGTGACGCCGTCTTTCCCGAAACACTTGGCCACCGCGGCGGTTTCGATACGGTCACCGACGGCGGTGCCGGTGCCGTGACATTCGACTACTGCGGTCTCGGACAGATCCGAAATGCCGGCCTGCTCGTAAACATGACGTATCAGCGCCTCTTGAGCCGTGGGGCTGGGCGTCAGCATGCCGTGCGTTCGGCCGTCGCAGTTAACACCGGTCCCACGTATGACCGCTCGGACGGTATCCCCATCGCGGAGTGCTTGGCTCAGTTTCTTGACGTAGATGGCATTTACGGCCTCGCCGCGTCCGTACCCGTCCGCGGAGGCATCAAAGGTCTTGCATGTTCCCGATGGCGACAGGACACCTTGGTCGCTCAGAGCAAGCATCATTGCCGGCGAAAAGATCAAGCTCGCGCCACAAACCAGGGCCCCATCGCAATCGCCGTTTCTGATGGCCTGACACGCCATGTCGAGGCCCACCAACGACGAAGAGCAGCCGGTCTTGACGGTCATGCTATAAAGAGCGGGTTTGTCAGTCGATAGTCTTTGGGTTGCACGTGATGAAGATCAGGGGACATCACATATCGCGTACCTTGGCCCATGCAGGTCAAACTCGTAGGAGACCCGGTTCCCGAGCACAAAGTCCTCGTTCGAGGTAGCTCGATAACCTCCTCTGTGCAGTGTTTCTTTGGCGTTGAGGTCCTGCCAGTCGCCTCCGAAGACGCCGACATAGCATCCAATGTTGGTACCGCGCCAGGAGGTCGCCCCGGCCTCCTCCATGCACTCAAAGGCCACCTGCAACAGCTGCCTCTGTTGCGGGTCGAGTCGTTCCACTTCCGTCCCGGACGAAGAGAAGAAAGATGTATCAAAATGCACGATGATCTGTCTCCAACAAATTACTTGACAAGAGAATTTTGTAAATTCGAACACTGACAAACAATGAAATGTAGGTAGTCGACGACGTGAGACCAAGTATGCGAGCGGGTTATCTACCAATCCGCAACCTATCCAGCAGCGTCTTTGCCGGACTGTTAGCATTAAACAACCATAACAGGCCCAACTCGTGATCCCGGCCAAGTTGACTTGGTCAAGCGTCCCTTGGATTTCGTCGGAGTCGTTGAATTCTAGCCCCACCCTAGGCACCACACTATTGAGCTCCTCACCCCTCTCCCCCCCGGTAAACGCCATCTTACCGAATCTGTACTATGCAGTACTGCGTAGATGCATCGGCTCGAATGTCCAACAAGCCACAGGGGTTCAAAAGTTCTATCTAGGGTGGGGTGCGGGAGATAAGGACATAGAGAAATCATCAATTAACTAACTTATAGGATTACTATATTACTTATATTATTTCAGGCTTTTAATAAGTATATAGCTATCTAATTAACCTATTAAAGTGTATTGTAGCGCTGTTTGTTTTTGGATTCAAAAAATTCTTTCTCGCTGTTAATGTTTTTTTTATAGGACATTTGTATGCAGGAAGGACACGGAAACAGAAGGCGTCACCTTGAAACGGAAGAACTATGGAACAGGTCAGGTGATGATAAGATAAGAACTGAGCGGCTAGGTGGAGCACTGAGTGCTCAGTTGCCAAGAGTCGATCCTGAACTTCTGAACACATACCTCGAAAGGTACCCACTGTTAGTAATTGTTAAGGTTATAGAGGGCTACGGCCCACTGCACTATCATCTCTTAACATCAGCCCATACGAGCTGAATTCTACGACTATAGCGGTCTTCCTAGATAGGGCCATCGATTACGGTTCACGGGGACGCCGGTATATCTCGGCGGTCGGGACGAGTCCGGAAGCCGACTGCAAAGGTCAGAGTGGTTGAGCAGGTCAACTACTAGGACAACTCTGAGCTTAAAGACGAGATTAACAAGCTTTCGAATCTTGTCCAGGACCTCCTACGTTGGGACACCGAGAGGGAACAGTTTTTGAAAGACTGTTTGACGAAGATCGAATCCTTGGAGAGAGAGCTTCAGGAGGAGAAACAGCGTTCAAACCGGCATCAACGTGGTCTAGCAAGGTCTATATACGCTATTAGCACAGGGCCTAGCGAGACTGACCTGAGTTCCCAGGGGTATCCCTCGCACATAACCCAGAACCAGCCGCCCCCAGTCCGTTTATATGCGGCGGTGGCGAGCCAGCTACTATCCAGAAGATAGGATGAACCAACGCTAGCCAAACAAGCCGCAAAACAAGCTACAAACCGGGCGGCTTTAAAAGATCTACGCGTCTTTATACGTTTATCGCCTAAAAGCCCGCTTCGGAACGAGAAAGCTTACGATATATACATCTTCGTTCGGGAAAGGCTAAGTCCCCAAGCCCGAGAAGCCCTCAAGGGGATCGACCATATTAAGACAGGATTAGTACTCCTACCTTCGTTAATAGATAGTATAAAAGTCCTGCTAGAGAATAGAGAATAGATCGCTACCCTTCTCTAAGCATAAGCGATCGAGTAACGCAATACCTGGATCCGAGCCTATATCGTAAACGTCCTTTACACTAGGTATTGTCTGGTAACCAATACTGAGCTGGAAATCATGACCGAGGAGCTCCTTGAAGAGATCCAGGTCTCGACGAAACTCAAACCTAAAAAAGCATACTTCTCTAGGAAGGACGAAGTCGAAAGGCTAGGCACGGTGATAGCCTAGTTCAAGGCGGAAGCCGTAAGGTAATTACTAAGACGCCTCCGTTTAATAGGGGCCAGCGTTTTTATAAACCTATAGTTCCTAAAGGAGAAGAGGTCTCCTTAATATCTCCGCTACGGCGGTTTTTATAGCGAACGAACGTATACTAGAAGGAAGAGATGCCTTAAGTGTAGCTCTCCTTCCTATACAACTGATTAACACCGGGTACCCTGCGGCGGCACTAAGGGTCACGATGGCTGCGACTGCCCCTTTAAATGCCCATTATGTAACGGGCCTTACGCCGCCTTCGATGCGACTTGCCCTATCCAACCCAAAGTGGTGAAGGGGGTAGTCTAGAGGAGGGATAAGGCTTAGCTACGGGCCATCCGAGCTGAGGGAGAAAGATTATAGAGAAGTACGACCTAGTAATCGCATCGATATTCCCGTAAAGAAGAATAAACGATAGACTATACCCCGGCGAATAAGACAAAAAAAAATTATAGCCCTCTAAAACCCTATACGTTAACTAAATTATATAAGTAAATATGGGCAGGCGGGCATCTGCCTACGAAATAGTACTAAACCTAGCTTACGTAGCCTAGATCGATATACTCTTAATATAAGAGCCGTCTATCCGTTCGGAGGAGAGGAGGCTTATTGTTACGAGCTGGACAAGGCAACCAACCGTAACACAATGATGACTCCACCCTGCGTAGAGGGGTTGTGGGTTCAATTCCCGCACGCTGCGTCGATAGTGTGATTGTGCCTCCCACACTATGTAGGGCGTCCCGACCGTAGGCAGTACGTGTAGGACTGGTTACCCCGCACCTCTGCTGGAGTTTCCCTGCTTATACCCGAAATGTCCGATTGGTCCTCGGCATAGGGACATGCCTCTTGGAGGGGAGATGTGGTGTTACGCCCGCCGCAACTTGTCACTGTGGGCGCGTAGCTATATAATGCAGAACAAGGGACAATGATGCCGGAGTCATCATTATCGAAGCTTTTGCTTTGTGCCACAGTTGGTTGCCTTGTCCAGCTCGTAACACTTATAAGACACCACCCAGGTTTTAAGACTTTTACCCTGATAGATAACTAGACCGAAGACCGTCCCAGGGTACTTACCTACCTCCGTAGAGGAACTAGGGTACGAGGCGTATAAATACGGCCTCTACCCGATCTATCTATAGACCTGCTCTTCTTATAACTCCTCTTAAGAACGAAGGAGGTCCTTATAATTATTAACGTATATAACGCCCCTCGTAGCTCTCTGCGATCTGGCCAGGCTCTCAAGAACATCCTAGCGGCCTAGCAACCCAAACCTAAGGATCGAGTACTAATTGCGGGGGATTTTAACTTATACTATTAGACGTAGTAGCCCGAGGCCACGAGTTCCCCAGACGCTGAAAACCTAGTAGAATGGGCAGAAGCCGCTAGCCTTGTCCTAATATTACCTATAGGTGAACCTATGTATAAAGGCGGCAACACCCTAGATTTATGCTGGGCGTCCAGTAACCTCCATGGGGCTTCTACTAGCATAGAAACATCACTATACACGATATCAGACTACGAATCTCTACTTACCCGGGTCCCCTTGGCCCTGATCGATTCACCCAGCCAGACCCCGGGAAGGTTTCGGCTCGATACGATGGACGAGGAGCTTTTCCTCGGCATCATTAAACGTAACTTATAACCTATGCGCCGCACTACAAGCAACATCCAAGACCCATAGTCTTTAGATCTCCTAGCACAACAGCTTACGGACTGTCTTATTAAAGCACTTACGGCTTCCATAAAGCGCACGCTCGGGAAAGGTATAGGGAGACCATACTGGAGCGAAAGCTGTATATATAAACACTGATCCTATGCGAGTAAGCGAGCGATGTTAGTAAGACTCTGCGTAGCCGGAGTGAACTATTAATGGGAAGAAGAGGAGGTCGAAGCTCTAAAACAGGACTTCCTCTACGAGTTTAAACGCTCCAAGGATGCCTTTTGGAAAGATAAGATCTCCTCAGCCTCCTTAAGTAAAGATATATTTGAAATGGTCGGTTAGTACAAAGCCATAGGATCCTTTCAGACCCCGCTACTCCGAGATGTAGATAACTAAGACACGCGTGTCTTATAACCAAAAAAGAAGCGCGACTTATTTACCCGCGTCCTCCTTAGAAACGCTGCAATCTCCGAGGACATACTAATAGAAAGCCTAGTCTTATAAAGGTAAGCTACGCTTCCTTTCCCATAGGTTACGAAGGACGAGGTACGGTCTTCGGTTCTCACCGCAGGAAACACGATTCCTGGGACCGACGGAATCACTATAACTACTTTGAAAATAGCATGGTGTTACGAGCTGGACAAGGCAACCAACTGTGGCACAAAGCAAAAGCTTCGATAATGATGACCCCGGCATCATTGTCCCTTGTTCTGCATTATATAGCTACGCGCCCACAGTGACAAGTTGCGGCGGGCGTAACACATGGCCAGTTATCGAGGATATTATCCTCTCATTTTATAGCGGGTAACGTGAATGATAAGCGAGTGAGACAGACAAGCGAGTGAGACACAAAACTGCGCCGATGATGCTTCAACACAAATGGAGACGTTTCTTCCACAACACATCATGGCATCCAGAAGTAATGAGTCAGGCATACAGCTGGCCCTTCAAGCTATCAGAATCAATCCAGAGCTTAGTGCACGGGCTGCAGCTACGATCTACTCGGTCAGCCATGCAACATTGAGTCGACGATTGAAGGGCTCTACATCTCGAAGCGACAGGATACCGAACTCGAGGAATCTTACTTTGCTAGAAGAGCAGACGTTAGTTGATCACATTCTCGATCTAGATGCCCGATCATTCCCTCCCCGGATCCGTGGTGTGGAAGAAATGGCTGATCGACTGCTTGCTGATCGCGACGCGCCTCCGGTTGGGAAGCGCTGGGCCTTAAACTTCGTCAAACGACAACCACAATTGCGGACGCGGGTTTTTCGGAGGTACGACTACAAGAGGGCCCAATGCGAGGATGCAGAGGCTATTCGCGGCTGGTTCGCTCTTGTGAAGAACACAATCGCGAAGTATGGTATCGATGAGTTTGTGTTGGTTCACGGGGTCGTATACGACAAATAGTGGTAGCAATTATCACTCGTCTGTTGGTGATCCTATTGCTTGTTCTTCTTGTTGTTGTTCTATCTTACATTGTAGGCAGGAGTCGGTCGAAGTAGGTAGTGACGGCCTGGGTGGTTGCCCCACCTTTATCCGGCCGTGATGACTAAGCCAGTTGTCCCACTTCGCCCAGGGCAGGTGCCAGCCAGCCCATGGTACCTTCCCATTACTCCTTATCAGCCTTTGCTGTTCCAACAGTTTGATATCTACAACTTCGATGAGACTGGCTTTATGATGGGCCAGATTGCATCTGGCATGGTTGTCACAAGTACTGAAAGGCGTTCAAACACAAAAATGGCGCAGCCTGGTAATCGAGAATGGGTTACAGTGATTCAAGCCATCAACTCGCAAGGCTATAACGTCCCGCCGTGCATCATCGTTGCAGGCCAATATCACCTCTCAACCTGGTATACAGAGTCAGGTTTCCCGGACGACTGGGTCATTGCGACGTCAGAAAACGGATGGACAACAAATGAAAGAGGCCTAGATTGGATCCAGCACTATGATCGTCATACGAAACCACGTTTGAGAGGCCAATATCGCCTCCTCGTCGTCGACGGGCACGAAAGTCACCACTCAACAGACTTTGAGCTATATTGCAAGGCAAACAAGATCGTTACGCTTTGTATGCCGCCTCATTCGTCTCATCTACTCCAGCCCCTTGACGTTGGGTGCTTTGGTCCGCTAAAGACGGCGTATGGGCAACAAATTGAGGATAAGATGCGGCGGGGCGTAACCCACATCTCAAAGGAGGACTTCTTTCCTGCATATCGCAGCGCATTTAGTCAAGCGATAACTGAAAAAAACATTCAAGGGGGTTTTAGAGGAGCTGGGATTGTTCCTCTGAGTGCAGAAAGCGTCCTATCAAAGCTGGATATCCGGCTACACACTCCAACGCCTCCAGCATCACTACCACAGACACCTCCGCCTTGGGTTTCAAGGACACCAAACAACCCAGTAGAGGCAAGCTCTCAATCCAACTTTATTAAGAGTCGGATCACTCGTCACCAAAGCAGCTCCCCAACCTCTATTTGCGAGGCTATTGAACGACTTTCTAAAGGTACAAGAGGCATCATGCACCAAGTAGCCTTACTTAAATCTGAGGTACAGATTCTTAGAGACGAGAATAACCAACTCAGTCGACGACGGAGAACTAAGAAAACACGCCTACAACATGGAGGAAGTCTTACTGTAGCTGAAGCAGCAGATATACAGTCACAGAAAGATGTGACTGCGCAGGTTCAGGAGGAAATGCGTCGTACTAGTGGTCGCAAACTGAGGGCCGAGACAGGTCAGCGACGGTGTGGCGTTTGTGGTCACCCGGGACACAATTCACGAACGTGCCAGTTTATTGAAGAGATGTCTGAAGATGAGGATTACGAGTAGTTTGAATTGAATTGATGCTGTTGATGTTGATATGGAAGCCAGTTTATCTCATCGGCGCAGTTTTGTGTCTCACTCGCTTGTCTGTCTCACTCGCTTATCATTCACGTTATATATACGAGGGTTAATATCCTACTTGTTTTAAAGAAGCAACTCTCGTGATCCTAGAAAAACTGGGAAAAAGAGACAAGATACTCCCGTGCTCCTATAGGCTAATTGCGCTCTTGGCCGTCCTCGGAAAAGGCTTAGAGAGACTTATTGCCAGACGACTTGCCTGGATCGTAGTTAAACATCGTGTTCTGCACGATCAATAGTTTGGAGCACTCCCTCTTCGCTCTTGTAGCGACCTTATCGTAGCGGCCATCCACGACATCGAGTGCGCCTAGCAAAGAGGCCTGGTTACCTCTATACTTATGCTCGATATAAAAGGGGCTTTCGATGCCGTGCTCCCAGGACGACTGGTCCGACGCCTCTACAAACAAGGATAGCCGGAGAACCTCGTACGCTAGGTCTCAAGCTTTGTTACTAGAAGGAGAGCAAGAATAAGACTTGATGGGGAGGTAGGAAAAGTCTTCGGTCTTGAATGCGGACTACTATAAGGCTTACCCGTGTCTCCTATTCTATTTATACTCTATATCGAACCTCTTTTTAAGCTAGGTATAGCTCGCTTAGGAAGGAAGCGATCTTGTTTCGGCTATGCCGATAACGTCGCTATCTTAGTAAGCTTAATATTACTAGAGAATAACTATGATATCCTAACTAAGGAATAGAAAGAAACCTTAGGATAATAGGGCGCGACGGAAGGAATTATTTTTGACCTTAATAAGTCCGAACTAATCTACTTTACCAAGAGACAAAAAGACAAAAACCTATTAATCATAGTAGGTTTACCAGATAGGAGGTATTATATAGTTTAGGCTATTAAAGAAGGCTCTTCTCTACGCTGGCTCGGCGTTCACTTCGACCGTAAACTTATATTTAAGAGTTACGTAAGAAACCTCTCCGTAAAAGTATATTAAGTAGTTAATGGACTATAGGGACTAGGGAACACTGTCTGGGGCGCGCCTACGTACTTACTTCGTCGAGCGATCACCTCTTATATATTATCTATTTAGTATTATATATCTAAAGTATGGTGGCCCGGCAAGAGCCGGATAAAGAATGGACGTACTATCTTAAACGGGGTTAGTAGTCTACTATACTAACTGGACGCGACGCAAACTAAAGCTATTAGAGCGATGGTCCCCGTATATAGAACTACGCCTGTACCGATCCTACAGCGCAAGGCGGCTCTACCCCCAGCAGAGGTGATACTGGATGCGAAGCTCCACACAGCGTCCACTAGAATCCATCGTCTGGACGAGCGACACCCTCTCCGAACGAGACTTAGGGACAAATCAGGACCAGACTCACGGCTACGACGAATGGTAAGCCTCATAAGTAAAAATACCGAATATATCGATCCGTTAGAACTCCCCCCTTGGGAGCAACTAGCGGACTAGCAGATAGCCCTCGCTAGGGTCGGCTATGAACCTAAAAAGACCAAAGAAGAACAGGCCCTCTCCTTTGTAGGTAGGATGGCAACTTTCTCTAAGCGGGATATTGTTGTCTATACTAACGGGTCCCAGATGTCGGACGGTAGTAATACCTCCGCCGGAGCAGGCTGGGTAGGGTACCAAGCTACACGGCAGATCTTCCGCGGATCCGAACCACTCGGCTCCCAAACTGAGGTGTATGACGCGGAGGCACATGCTGCGTATCACGGCCTGATGGAAGCCACCCGGGCTCCTACGGCTCGTATGGCAGATAACGTCCACATCTGCCTCGACAACCTCGCAGTCGCGGCTAGACTATACTCCCAGAGCACAGGAAGCAGCCAGGCTAGATTTAGGGCCTTCAATAGGCTCTCTTCCTCCTGGACTCGGAGACAAAGAGAGAGCTGGACAACCCCCGGCAGGGTTTATGTTTGGTGGTGCCCTGGGCACACGGGAGTACCAGGAAATGAAGAAGCGGATGCTCTAGCCAAGGAAGCCTGCAAACTAATCCCAAAATCACAACCACAGCCCTCATTAGCGCACCTAGAAAGGCAAGCTAAAGCAGCTGCCTTCCAAGCCTTTGCCAGAAAATGGCTGTCCCAATGCCCTCGGCAATATGCCGACCTCGAGATAATTCTTCACCCCAAGCCGCCCGAACTCCGCCTCCCTCGGCACTTACTAGGAAGGCTATACGCAGCAAGATCCCATCATGGAGACTTTGCAGCATACCACGAGAGATTCGCTCATCAAGATGCGTTGCTCAACTGCAGCTGTGGGAAACCCAAGACACCAGTCCATTTCTACTTCTGCAAGCGTGGACGCAAGGCTACACCGCGCTACCTCCGCCAACGTACGGCTAAAGCAAGCATTGATTTCTTGTTAGGTTCTGCTAAGGGAGCCTCTCTTCTATGCGAATGGATAGAGGAGAGTAATTTCTTTTCCGAAATTTGCCCGAGTCATTGAACAGGAACGTTAGGTGAAGACGGTAGCCTGTAATATAGTTTAGATTAGTATAGACCATGTCGGCATTGCGCCCGGCGGCACGTCCTTTTGTTACCAGACGTTAAATACATCATCATCATCATCATTAGGGGCTAAACGATCATTCTAGATCAGAATGATCCAGCGCAACCCAAGGGATAAAGCATATGTTCAGAATCAGGACTTGTATATAGGATGGACTCGAGCCGGGCTCTAGGACAGACTTTCCATAGCTTCTTCAGCAATTAACTTCGTATCAGATCTTATGATCGCTTTCAGCTATCTTCCCTGAGAACCTCTTTGACAAGACTACGATTGATCACCGAAGCCTTACCTACCTGAGACTATTCGACTACGTGTAATAATCATCCGGTTATTACATCCGGTTATTACATCCGATTACTACTGTTATCAGTATCGCAGCCTTAACTTCTGCAAACATACCTCACTACAACTAGCTGGCCGTAACACTACAATCCATCGCTGCCAGTATATTAGGATGTTTTGAGCTCTGATGTAATCAAATCACAGCTTCCCAACCCAGAGCGCCTCAATCTTACCAGCTAAAAGTTTCCACCTCTAACTCAAAGACAGTCTTGTGCTGCTTCCCAAATTTAACAACAACCTCCCGAGTAGAGTCGCAAAGCCCAGCAGGCCCACAGACAACGACGCCGACTCGTTTCCAGTCCGAATCAACTTCATATTGTAGAAGCGCATCAACATCCAGTCTTTGACCGACCATGACAACCTTATCATCTATGCTGCTCAGCATGCTTTCGAGGTCCTGCAACACGGGCAAAGACGTCTCTTTTAGACTCCACGCCAACCTGACGTTCGTGTGCGAATGTGTCCACGTGAGAAGACCAGTGATGCCGATACCGCCGCCAATTAGTAGTACGCGGTCGCACTTTAGGACCTCGCGACTAAGGTTACCGCGGTATGGGCCGTCAAGCAGCACGGGGATATTGTCGTGTTCTCGCAGCAGCTTTGTGATGCCTCTATGCTTCTTGATGTAGATGGAAAGGTAATCCGTACCCGTTTTCGCGCTTCTCTGGGACACCACTAGCTCCGGACCTTTGTGCATACCGACATCTTGCGAATGCGATGAAGCATGTCCTGATGCAGGTGAATGGTTTTGAGAACGCAACATGGCGGTATGGGTTATTGAAAAGGGGTGATTTTCCCAGGGTTTCAGAGGCTGCAGCGTGGGAAAGAAAATATACGCATGGTAACCAGGATCGGGCGACCATCTCACCCCGTGGATGTCCAGGCGTACGGTCTCTGGCGATAATTCGACGACGGTCGCCCGCGGAATGCCGTTTTTGATGACGCGAAACACCCGAACGAGGCGGTCGAAGAACCAGACTCCGCTCACCATGTAAAGCCACAGCTCGTACACGCCACTGAACGGTTTCCAATAGTAGACGTGGTACCAGCAGCCGGCCACTGTGAAGACGGCCAGAAAGATATGAAGCATGAGGAAGATTTCGTACGAAGCGCGACGAAACCAGACGACGCTCTGGAACAACAACACGACGAGACATAAGGTTGCGACGATGCCCCAAATCCAGTATGGCTTATGGACGTCGGCGTAGTAAGTCCCGAGGCTTACGTATGCCGCCAGAAGGGTGATGGAGTGTACGATAGCGTGCACGGCACACACGCGGGCAACCCAGCGATGAAGAACCAGAAACGTTGAAAAGGGCCAGTCCGTGATCCACAGAAGTACATTGTTGCGGGACGAGAACAGTACAGTGAGTGGGAGTAGGGCGAAGGAGATATGCCCGGTGCGATAACCGACGTAAGCCAATATCTCGGCCCTCTTGGTGAAGCCCCAGGGATGAGTTGCAGCAAAGTTGTTGTATTCGATGGAGCCCAATATGATGTTTAAAATGATAAACATGGCGATCCAGAGTCCTTGGCCCATGGTCGGCGCATTGCCAAGAAGGTACGGGAGCGGACGAATGTTGTATCCCGCGATGGTGGAGGGATATATGAGGTAAGGCTTGATCCTGTCGATGGCAGTGGTCACAAGAGGTAGATGATTCATGACCGAAAACAAAACTGGAGTTGCCATACCAACAGAGATGATGACGATACTAGAGTACGAGACTATAAGTAAGTATATGTCTATTAGCTGTATGCTGAGGCGCTGACTTACACGTAGGTAGACTGGATGGCCTCCTCCCAGTCGAAAAATACATCAAAGTCGTACTGATACGAAAAATCGATATCCGATATGAGAGCTGTATAATTTAACGTGTCGCCTGTTTCGAAAGTCCGGTTTGGCGGCTGCGTTATGTTGGCCAGCACAGCGCCGTACGTCCACTTGGGAGGCATGGTCGCATCGCCAGTAGCCTGGTCGGTCCAGTAGGCCTCGAGCTTAGAGGCCGAGACGCCAAATGCAGGACAGTAGCTGTTCATGCAGTAGGCAAGTGTGGAGAGGAAGGGAATATTCTCCGCAATGCATGGAGCCATGGGTGAACTCCCGTGCATGTCCATGCCGCCCATATCCATACTGCTGTCGTCCGGGCAGTCCAACGGGGCCGATCCGATGACAGCCCGACAGGCATAGGCACATGTCGGATCGTACCATGATTGACCGTAGCCCATCAAGCCCGTCTTGTAGCCGCTCGCAGAGCTCGCGAGAAGCGACAGAAGCGTGGCTCCCTGATAAACCAGCGACGGCCTCATCTTGGCAACCTTTGTAATGATGAAAGAATGCTTCTTCAGCTATTGTCGCGAGGACGAGGATCAGGATCGCAACACAGATGCAGAACGTTGACCGATGCGAAAAAGGATGCACTTTCCAGATTGTAGGCTGCAGCTGCTTCAAATACTCCGGAACAGCTATCCCGTGTCAAAGACTCTGAGTACGTGGATTGGACCGGTTTGCATCGAATCACACGCCACACATTACAGAGATGAACCAGGTATCTGGGAAAGCATTCTGAGCTATGCTTTTATCGGATATCCTTGAAGGAGATTATTGGTTGTAACATTCACTGAGACCCTACACCTTGCACCTTTAAACTTGCGCAAAACAGCTCACACAAGCCGTATATGAGCGGCATGTGCATTAGCGGCTGCTGTTGCTACCACTCATCCCAAGTTCATTACTTTACCAACCCGCACGCAGCTGGTCTCATTTAGCTGGGGAAATTTCTTTGTGAACTCGCCTGATCGGACCACGGTCCAAAACCATGGTGCATATACATTTGCAAAACAGCCGCAACTTCCAGTCATGAAGGTAATCATCGTTGGCGCTGGCGTGGCAGGGCTGTCCGCCTACCTGCAGCTGAAGAAGCTGCTACCCAAATCTACCTTGGAGGACATCCGTATCTATGAGTCTCACCGGGGTCAGCCGCCAGTGACGGGCGAGGCAAATCAACATCAGGTGCTGGAAACCGAGCCAGCCGCGCTGACTGACTCCGCCACAGTGGTAGGGAACATCATCGCGCTGACCCCGACGACTTTGCGACTTTTGCGCTACATTGATGAAGGTCTATACTATCTGTTTCAATCTAGAGGCTACCAGAACGAGACCTATCGCTTCCGAACCGCGCGAGGCCATTCTCTTGCCACGACAGCCACGGATGACGGCAGGAGCCCGCGTGAATACACCGTGTCGTGCCCGCGGGCCATGCTGCGAGACTGCCTACTGGAAATCGTCGGAGAAAACAATGTAAAGTACCGCAAGGTGGTTGCTGTACATCTGAACAATGGTGCTAAGCCCATTGTCCGCTTCGCGGACGGTCGAGAAGAAAGCGCCGACCTGGTGCTTGGCGCTGATGGCGTACGAAGCGTTGTGAAGGAGGCCATCTTTGAGCCGGCTGGAGATGCTACCCTTTTGTCACCGCATTACGAGCAAGGCTCTTCTATCTCCTTAGGACCAGTCCGTTGATGCTGACGTCTATAGACAACAACAGGAGATTCTGCGGCGTCGGCGGCTTTCTTCCAGTACACGACCTCCCGGCTTCGGTTCGATATAATAAGAGCGTCGTATTCACCTTTGGCCCGACCGGGTCATTCGGCTAACTACTCTGCAGCCCCTGAGGAACAAGGCATCTTGGGTTGGTGGTCCAACTGGGGCCAGCCTGATATCCCCCAGAAAAATGTGATGGACCCGAATGAAATCCGACAACAGCTGCGGAACCGCCATGGGGCCTGGCAAGATCCTGTCATACAGCACATTCTCGAAAACCCGAGCACAAATCGCGTATATCCCATCTGGACCACTGCCAACCTTCCCTTCTGGAGTGCCCATGGTGCGGTGCTATTGGGGGACGCTGCCCACACGTTACCAGCCACCAGTGGGCAAGGTGCCGGCCAGGCCTTGGGAGACAGCGTCGTCTTCTGTTTCCTTCTCGCCTCGTATTTGGACCGTCCAGCAACAGAGAGCAAAGACGCCGATTTCGAATCTCAAGCCATACAGTTGGCGGCCAAGGGACTTTACGACATCCAGGCTCCTGGGGTCGTTGCCATTAAGAGACAGTCACGCAACCTCTACCTCACAGACAAGAAAATTGAAAATATTTTCTTTGAGTATATCTATTACCTCTATCTTTATGTACTGATTCGCATTCCAATTCTTGGTGAGTTGCGCTATCACATTGTCTACTGGAGCTGAGGACGGCTTAGTATTCGTGATGCATCCTGACTGACTGCTTGCTCAGCTCGTCTAATCCTTGGCACTGTCTTCAGCCCCCCTGATGAAGCGGATTTGGAGGAGCAAGTCCAAAGATATCTCAAACAAGTCGATTGAGGCGATTAGACCACAAGAGTAAAGTTGCATTGCTTTTGGCAAGCTACATCAATACGACTTCCATGACAACAAGGTGATGCTGTTGCCCTTAGTTGCGATACACAAGATCGGTATGGACGTCAACTATTGCAGAACACAACAGCCGTTTGATCAGTCGTAAATTATCAGTGGCATGGTAATTTACCACTATGACTGTTAAATTCTCTTTCACAAATTTCATCCTGCGTTCCTGCTGGTGCGCGAAAGGCGACTACCTACGTTTCAAAGGGAGAGACGACTACGATTCAAGAAACCCGTGAACTGTTTCGAGGAAATGTCCCGTTTGAAAGTTCTTATTGATACATTCTGTAGATGATCGCCGTACCCATCACCTAACTGAGAGTTGATACTGTAGCGTTGCCAATCAAACGTAGTTTACATCCCCAATCCCTGGCACTCTCCATCCTTCCATCGTGGACGTCACAGATTGCAGTGGCCCTGCAGGTTCAGTTGGCTTCGATTCAATATGTCAGCAACCCTAGCATTCCTTTGCAAAGCGTGATAAGGATTCACCACCCACATGGCTTGCTGTCAAAGGTAAAGAGACGACCCTTGGTGTTGGACGCATGGGTGCCATAGGAACGCTGCATGTTCAACTCTTCCTCGGTCAGGATGGGTGCCTCAACACCAGCAGAAGGCCAGTTGACCTTCCAGGGCTGAGTCTTTTCATCAATAGTAAAAATGCGCCCCTTTGTGTTGGACGCATGGGTGCCGTAGGAGCGCTGGATGTTGAGCTCCTCTGGAGTCAATTTGACCGCATTGGCAGAGAGCTCGCGGGGAAACGCCTTCCAGGGCTGGGTCTTGGTAATGGTAGACATGGTGTAGATCAGGAGTGTCAGATGATGTAAGTGAAGAAGAAGCTTGGTAATGAAGTTGTCAATTTTCTGTTGAATAGACTGAGAATCGACGGGAACTTGCTGTTAGTTATATAGTTGTCGCCATGGTCGTTCCATACGAGCCGTCTGCTTCATGCACATCATCTACAGTTTGAAGGGAGCAAATGAGTGCAGTGAGCTCTCGGCCATTGTCACTCCCAGACTCAGCTTTGGCTACTTCAGTTATCGAGCCTGGAGCTCACTGGAGATGGGTGATCTAAGCGCCTGTTGAAAGTAGATGGCCAAGGCAAGTTGTCCCGCTGATCGCACATTATGGGGTTCCGCGAAGGAATTGTGACCAGTTTGATACGCTACTGTACTTTCGACTGAAAGAAAACATTAATCCAAACAGGCATGGTCGGTGGCGTGTACACGGTCGTCTTTGAAGGAAGTCAACACCAAGAGACTGTCCCAAAAACATATGATCCTACCCAACATGCTATAAACGTGCATACATCCTGATAGATTCGTCCGAGTTGGGCTAGGTGCGGCCTCTGAGAAATCCTTCGCTTGGAATATCAACCAATACCCCGCCCTCAGCCCCTTTTCTTATCCTCAAGTTGTAGTGAGAAACAGGTAACATTGCAGATGGCCGGAGGTTCGAAATCTTCGCAAATTGAGTCAAATACGCTCTACTCCTAGTTTCTTTGTGATGTTCAGATTTCAGGCCGCGCGAGACGCCACATCCATCTCGTACGTACAGGAGCGTAACGTGCAAATATCTTGATTGCCTTCAAGAAGACCCTTCCTCCATCCTCTTCACCCTGGAAATCAACTTCAGAATTGGCAAAGATATTGGCTTCCTGCTCGTCTCCTTCTTCATAATTCCATTTGCCTTTGACGACGCCTGTAAAATGTCGGCAGAAGTGATCTCTACACTCCGATACGCCAACGCGGACAGCGAGGCTCTCCGAACGGAGAAAGCCTACATATTGAACTACACGGCGCCACCGGGTCTCCCCAAAAGCAACTTCAAAATCGACTTCGTGCCCAACATCAAGATCGGAAACTTGCGGACCGCGGGTCTCGCCTGGGAAGAAAGTGGCATCCGGATTGCCAAACTGACAGGACCTGGCAGCCTTCCCAAAAAGGATTTTGAAGATGAGGCCAAGATAGAGAACTTCTATCTCCCCGTCGTTCATGACTGTCTGAAGAAGACATTGGGAGCAGAGGAGGCCTGCATTTTTGACTACATGGTAAGGCGCCGCGAACCTGCGTTTCCGTACCAGCCGAAGTCCAGGGACAATGCAACTCAGCCGGCGCTATCGGCTTATATCGGTATGTACTGCGAGCCCATCTCACGCGCCATTTTTCTGCGTGTGCCTTACTTTTATTGTGCGTCGTCGCGATGAAGACTACACGACCGACGAAATATCGGGGCGAGTTTCCAAGTATTTCAAAGACAAGGCCGCAGTCTATGCATCGCGGCACTACCAGATCGTCAAGTGAGTTTATTTCGCCGTATTGAGAAGCTTTTTGACAATTCTCGGCAAACGTCTAATTGGGGACCCACATGGAATAGTGTGTGGAAACCTCTCTGCGGGCCGCTGCGGGACTACCCGATGGCATACTGCGATGCCAAGACGATGGACCCCAGCATGGACCTCCTGACGGTTGACGAGGTCTTCCCGACGGTGGCCAATGAGGTCTACCAGGTGCTCTACAATCCCAAGCACGAATGGTACTATATGCCAGACCAGGGGTCGGACGAGGTGGCCATTTTCGCGGGCTACGATTCCGAGAGAGGCCAGGCGGTAGCGGTGCCTCACTGTTCGTTTGACCTGGGGGACGCAAGCTCGGGTGAGCAACGGGAGAGCATCGAGGTCAGGGCATCTGTGTTCTACGGGGATACTAAATAATATGCCAAATACTCTGTGGTCATCGAGTATCCCATTGACTGCTGCAAGACGCCAAAAAAAAAGGTGATCCACAAAAGTACCCACTTTTACCCCGCACTTCAATCGGTACAAAACGAAACATCATTTACCCCTAGTTATGTTTTTTTACCTACTATCACTACCAAAACCATCATTTCAACTAATATTACGATATCTTCTAGTAATTCTGATGCTTCCGATGCCTCCGTAGCTACCGATACCTCCGTACGGAGCAATATATTCGTTGAGCTCCTTCCCGAAGACCTTAAAGTCGGCTGTACTACCGACTATACGCCGGAGAAGTACGATAATAGCACAGTCCGGCCCCATAAGCCTCCGGCTAAGCCTCCGGCTAAGCCTGGCTTGCCCGGCTTTTTTATACCCTTTGATATACCGGCCCGGGACCGGCAAATACGGGACTTACCGGAAACGCCGATTAACCTTTTCCTTCCAATACGTTCCCCGGAGCCTTGTTAAGCAGTGGGTCCGGTGGACAAATGCAGCGCCGATATCTAAGGAGGGCCCTCAGCCTAGACACTCAAGAGTATATAAGTAGAAAAAGACCTCCATAGAAGAGGTATACCTCTTCTTAGGAATCCGTATTTATATGGGGATCCATAAGGAGTATGAACTATCAAAATACTGGGCAACTCAGCAAGAGAAAGAAGACCCTATTCATCCATTTACCCGGTTTATATCCCGGGACCGTTACCAAATACTATCCCGGCAGCTCCGGATATTCGATACCTCTAATTTCCCTAGTCAGTCTAGCCATGGCCAATACCGGCACCGGCCCCGAGATAATCCAATGCCGGATACGTGCCGGAAGGTTAACGGGTAGTCGGCCCATATTCAGGATACCGGGGACTCCTTCTATACGGCCGGCTCTGACCTTACCGTTAACGAGGCTATGGTCCGATTCACGGGCCGGTCCCTTGAGACAACAACAATCCCGACTAAGCCGATCCCGACTGGCTTTAAGATATGGATTCTTGCCCAATCAGGCTACTGTCTCCGGTGGCTCTGGCATATCCACGGAAAGGGCCCGTACGGGCTAGTCCCACAGGCCCGGCCAGCGCCGGATGACGAGGCGGCAAAGCAGGCCCTTTTAACGCCGACGCAACGGGTTGTAACGACCCTAGTTGCCCTACTTCCTGCTGCAATCTACCACGTCTTTTTAGATAACCTCTTTTCTTCTGTCCGGCTCTTTAGGGCTCTCCGGAAGCAGCAAGTCGGAGCTTCTGGCACCTGCCGGAAAGATAGCGGCATAGATAAGATCCTTATTACCGAGAAAGCAACTGAAGGACAAGATATCCCTTGGGGCAAGATACATTATATCCCTACTTTAGATGAGGAGGTATAGTGTTATAGACTACCTTCTAAGGATATCTTTATACTAATCAGTTATTCTAGGTTAACCAGTTCACCTGGAAAGACAATGCTATTATACTCTTCTTAACAACAGTCTTCCGGGAAGGCCAGGATATTATTCGGAGCCGGCGCCGGCCAACCGGAGATACTGCTGCAAAGCGGGCTACCCGGAAAGTCTTCGGCGCCGACGTCCAGAAGAACCTACCAATACAGGCACCAATAAACGAGTATAACCATAAGATGAACGGCGTTGATGTTAGTGACCAGATGTGATCCTATTATCAATGGGGCCACCCTATCCGGCGAGGGGGCTGGCAGGCAATTACTTGGGACTTCCTGCTAGAAGTGATAGTTGTGAACAGCTATCTGCTGCAGCTCTGGGGCAAGCCTAGTTGGCGATCTATTAAAATGCAGTATCAATGGCGGCAACTGCTTGCAGCCCAGCTTATCCAGCAGTTTGGACCATTAGCAGGAGGTCGGCAGAGATCTCGGCCTGGGCAAGCTAAAGATAAAAGGAATACCTCTATTCCTTGGCAACACCATACAAAGGGATCGAGAAAGGTTAATTCGCGGTGCTCTTATTGCAGCAGTAAAGGCGCATTATCTCGCCGAACTGCCTCATCCGAGATATCTGGAAATAGCCTTGCGCAGCCACGGCCTAGATACACAAGAAAGGGCTGCTTAGACTGCAATGTACCGCTTTGTATCAACAGAGATTGCTGGTACCTCTGGCATAACCAAGATAACTAGAGAATAGAAGTACCGGAAATCCTAGCTTATCATTGGATAGAGTATATGAAACCACAAGCCCTTATTGGCCGTACCCCGCATGGCGTCTTGCAGCAGTCAATGGGATAGATCTCAAGACGATCGGAAAGGCGTGGAGGGGGTTTGATTTTGTTGTTGTTCTATTTAACGCCATGGCGGCAGACCTCCCGGAGGGTATACGTAGTAGTTCGGAACGTGAGGTTCTGGGATGACGAAGTATTAATTACTATATATTGATCGATTTTGCGTAACGGTGTAAAAGGGAGATTTTAATCGGAGGTTAGGTGGGTTAGTCGAGGTTTAATTCGAAGTGGCCTATGCTTTGCCCTTACTCGCGGTCGAATTGGGCTTTTAATCCGATACCTATCTTGGATGATCAAGATTCTCTGACCAAATGTTTCCGTCTCCAACTCCTTCCCCCAAAGAAATCCAAACGTTCCCTACTCACCATTCTCCCCGTCTTCTTCCATGAGTTGCTCAAACGCCTTGATGTTTCTGTTTCAAAGCCGACAGTCCTCCACAACGTGCCACGTCGCCTTTCATTTCCCAACTCCTTTGAGAGCATTGTATGTTACACCCCATCGGATCATAACGCTCGCTTAAAGTAGCGTGTTATTACCTCCATAATCTTGAGTTAGCTTACTAGAGGGCTGCTACTGAAGCCAAGAGAAGTTACAACATCTCGGCCCCTCGAAAGGAGGGGATACACTGCGCTTACAGTGACGAGGCAAACGCCGAGAGCATAAAGTTGATAAGCTCCGCATTTCAAAAGATGCGAAAAATGGCAGGCCAGCGTTCGAGACACGACCTGTCGTCGCTGGTGAACGACTCGTCTTCTTCGCGGGACAGCAGATTGTGTGTCTCGTCGATGTCTTTGAGTCCCGGCGAGTAATGGTCTTCTCCTATGATGACGTCGGCTATAATGGCGGAAGGGATTTTCGCCTCTCGGGTTAGAAATATACTCCTTGCTGTGGCGCATGCGAGTCGAGGTCCATGCCGTATGTGCAGCCATGATGAGGTGTTGCAAAAGTCAGGAGTGATGAGAACGTGTGCAGGGCGTTGGAAAAGGCCTGCACTGGGGCCCAAAAACGGGCGTTCACGATCCGGAACTCTTTGAGCGGCTACATGCACGCGACCAGCGCACCCGCACGCTTGAAAAGCAGAGACGCTTTCGTGTCGTTGCAATCGCCTGGGTCGACAGAGAGGCGCGACTGCCGAGAATTGTAGCGGCGGCCAATGGCCCACTGAATTGTAGTTACTGTTGCAATGGCATCCGGAGTACGGAGTACAGAGCCCGCACACCCGTGGGCCGTGGACCCCTAATGTAAGGGTAGCTGCGGAGCAACCCACTGAGGCGTGGGGCATCGAGATGTGACGCATCGTCTTTCTTCACTTCTTCAGCGGCAGTCAAGCCATGCCGTCATGTGGGCGTCTTGCGGAGGTCTTCCGAGCATCCACTTTGGGTATTCATGGTCTAAGGTATTAATGCGTGATCTCAGAATCCACGCAGCTGCGAAAGTAATAAAAGCGGTTTAATGTATACCTACTGATCACCGAGAATCGGGCTGCCCGTATTAGACAAATGACGGTTAGTCAGGGTGGCCAGCGGAATATGCATATATGAGTGAGCAGAAAAGAGCGTCTATTCGTACTAAAGAGTGGATGGAATCACCACAGGCTTGTGGGCCTAATGCTATCCTAATAAGTCTTGCAGAGCTAGGACCAGGTGGAAATGACAGTCTGGCCTGTTTCGTGATGGTCAGACCATTCCGAATGGGTTATGTCCATGACTCGCATAGGAGCATGCATGGATTCTGTCAACAAACTACCCCCAGAGCCCCACCATAAAGGTAACCGGAGTGCTAGTGGAGTGCTGGTGGAGTATATCGACCTACTATAAGTTGAGGGATTAACGGGAAAATTGACGGACCATGTACTTTGCTTTGGCATTCTTAGGCACTCCTGGGCTTTGCAAGCTAGGAGTCAAAGTCACGAGTAGCGTATGTAATTGAATCATTTAGATGCCTTACTACATACTGCTGGTACAAATATGCGGGAGCCGATGATTTCCGTCACCTAACTCCTTTTATGCCAATCTTCTTCTCGCCAAAGCTTCAGCATCGCTCAAAAAGCTTCCATCATGCCTTGCCAGTCGTAGCTCTCAATGGCTTGTCGTTTGCAGCATACTGAACACAAGGCTTGTGCCACTTTTGGCTCCCGTTCTCTCTCCGTCTCATTGTTTTGTTGCTCTCTCCAGGGTAACTTCGAGGGTCCTCAACGTCCCGCTTGATACGACCCTGTGGGACCCAAAGTCCCACTCAGTTCATTAAGTATCTTCATGATCCGAGTTACCTTAATATCACGGCTTATGGGTGCTTCGGAATCCTCGGACTAAGGTACCACCCCCTCCCACCTCCCGGGGCTAAAGTTTGCAATCCGTGTTCAAATCAGTGATCACACTTGGCGGTTCCAAAGTCATTCCATGTTTCATGATAGCTATCGAAGTGGGCCACCCATTACACAATTAGTACTGCACTGATTACTCGTGCCCGTTTCGGGGCGAATTGAGAGCTTGATGTCGGATTCCGGCATAACAAGACCGTTTCATTGAGAAGCCAACGGAGACGCAAGAAAGACATTCTTTCCCAAGAGGCGGAAAGAAGGAAAGAACAGGACTCTGGGAACACTTGCCCGAAGATGAGTTGTTATTATTAGTTGTTGAGAAGTAGCTATGAAATATTACTCATTTGGATGTGATGTTCAGTTCCTGTTGGTATCCCTATCACAGGGAAGTTGGCTCGAACCGTAGGGGGTCCTGGGGGTGACGAAGTATCAATATCTCTGTATTGATTGATTCTGCGTAAGGAGTAGAAGGGAGATTCCAACCGGAGGTTGGGTGGACCGTCGAGGTGTAATTGTACCCTCTCGAGGTGGCCCCTGCTCTACCCTTACTCACGGTCGAATTGCGCTTCCAATCCGACAGTTCCATCATTTGAATGATCTTAAATCGCTTCGAACAAGGTCAGCATCTTCATCTCCCCACGGGTACTTCCCCTCAACAGATCTGATGAGATGGACCGACTGCCCACTCCTTGGCGTGATGCTATATGGGAAGTCAACTGGGCGACAGATCAGGCCGCTCGTGGTCACAATCTTTGGGGTAATCTCATAACCAGACTCGTCAATGGCCTTCCTGATATCAAATGTTGCCAAGAGACGCGCAATGGTAATGAAGAGACTCTCATCCGCCACAAACCGTCCAGGGCAAATCCTCCGACCGTAGCCAAAAGCTTCATCTATGGGATCTGGCTCATTGCGAGGTGACGAGTATCGGTCAGGGTCAAATGATGATGGATCCCGATATATCTGAGGATCGTGTAGGAACCACCATATCGAGGGCAGCAAATATGCGCCCTTGGGTATGTCATAGCCTTTGTAGCTGATGTCTTCATCAGTCCTGTGAGCTACGCCCAGCGGCGCGACGTGAAGCCATCGCAAAGCCTCCTTCACTACGTCGTTAAGGTACGGCAGGCGATCTCGGTCTCCAAAATCAGGCAACCTGTCACCGCCCACAATACTATCAATTTCTGCCTGTGCTTTCTTCTGGACGCCCGGGAAAAGTATCATGGCCAGAATGAAGCTGTGCAGGGATGATGCAGTCGTATCGGCCCCCCCGCCGTACATGACCAAGGCTGTTTTCTTGATGTCATCCTCAGAATAATTGTTCTTGGCCTCGCCATTGGCAGTGAGACCTTCTTCAAGAAGTGAGGACACGAACGATCGCTCATGAGCTCCTTTGGAAATCTTCTTTCGAACAAATGAATAGGGGACGTCTTGCGTCGTCTGCAGAAGTCTACTCCATTCTCGACCCTGTTTCTTGAATGAAGTTGCCGGAAGACCTTCTGGGAGGTGTTCAAGAGGGGGGAAAATATCCACAGCCCAAGAAAGAAGCACTGTCGCAAGCGCAAATACGTCCATTGTACGCTCAATCAGATGAACCAAAGGGTCGCTTCTACCCGGCGAAATGGAATAGCCGTAGGTGATTCTAAGGATAATGGCACTCGCCTCGCTATTGAATCTAATTAGCGGTGAACGAAGAGTAGTAATATGTATCGGGTCAATGGCATCATCTGAGCCGAGCAGACTTACGTCTTGATATGCTGCACCAAATTGGCGGGGTCATCCAGAACACGGAGGAGGAAGCGGTGTGATTCTGGCTCGATGTTGTCCCGATATCGGGCTGCCACTGCCTTCGTCCCAAATTGCTGGTGTACCAACTTGCGATGCCGACGAAACGTCCCGTCATACTGTTGAAGGTTCAAAAGCGACGCAAAGCCACAAATGTCAGCGAACCGCATGTATGGGCGTCCCGATGTCTTTGTCGAGGCCTTAATCAACAAATCATGGGCAGCCTGACGGTCATGAAGGATGATGATTCTCTGTCCTAGGATATTGATGGAGCTGATAGGGCCGTAGATGTCTTTGAACTTGAGCCAATGCTCATACTCAGGCGTTCCACTCGGGGGCAAATCTCTGACATTGCCAACGAAGGGAAGAGGCTTGGGCCCAGGCGGAAGATTGTACCCTTTGTCTCTCCGAATGTAATAATAACAGAAAAGGGCCAGCAAAACGATAGCAGCTAGCATATTTCTGTGTTCAAACGACAAGAATAGAGTGTGCGATGCGAAGTAGAATAGAATATCGTTCAAGTTTCTAACAAAACAGAACGATCGACGTGCGCATCGGTATGAAATTTTCGACGTTCTTGATTTGTATATCCCGAGATTCAGCATGCAATTTATCCCAGATTTTCTTAGCTTTCAGGCCTTTGGGGAGGGTATGCGTCCCTTCGGCAACACCGGTAAATATGGCGGAAAGCCTTCCGTCATAGTTCTACATGTGGAGACGGCCCCGGTAACCATGAATGCAACGACAATTTGGGGAGCAGGGGAAGATGACACGGATCCATTCACCTGGACTGGAATATTCATCTAATAGAGCGATCTTTTGTCAGTACATGCACAATTTATTCTGATGCTACGTGGACCGACTCTGGCCATTATGGAACAACCACGTACGAGTGTTCGTATGCATTATGGCGGATAACTTCGAGACCGACATCTGTTTGCAGTCCAATTTATGTCCATCAATAGGACATGGCGGCCCGAACAAACACCGTTTGATTAATTATTTCTCATTTTCTGTTTCCGTTTCCAAGCCATTTTTCTCACACGACATATCGATAATTTTCTGGTTGTAACTCCAGGCTTTATCATGTCTTTGCGGGAAACCCATCACCTGCGACCCACGGGCTGGGAGCTGGACCCCGAAGAAGAGAGATTCAAACTCTCTACGCTCGATCCTACGCCCCAAAGCGCCTACAATCACTACGTTCTCTTCTTTCGTTTGGATGATGAGAAGAAGAATGATGCTGTCGATATCCTTAAGGCTGGACTGCAGAAGACGCTCAGTCAAGCACGGTACATGTGTGCCACCATTGAACGAGATCCCGAGGGTGGACATTCCTTTGTGAAAAAGAAGGAGTCAGCCGTGAGATTTATTGTTCATCGGCTGAACCCCAACGGCAGCTATCCATCTCTGGATAACATTGAGGCCTCCTACTTCTCTGGGAACAGTCTGCGAGATATCAATCTTTGGAGTAAGTTAACTATTCCGTATGTTTTCTCATCCTACCAGTTCATGGCCCCACTTTCGAGCTGTCTACTAGCAGTTATCTCGCATACTTGAGCAGGTCTTGATACTGACCGAGACTTTTAACGTGCAGGTATCCCTGAGTTGACATGGGGCGAAAAGCCAGAAGCCGATCCGGATAACAGCCCAGTAGTAGCAGCATTCCAACTAAACGTTATGGAAGGTGGATTGATCTTCAGCATGCATATCCACCATTATTCCTGCGATGTCATGGGTTGGAGCAACTTCACTCGCCAACTTGCCCATAACTGCTACGCAATTGTGAATACAACTATCTTTCCATCCTGGAATCCTGCATGCATCGACGCATCGCGCTTCACCAAGCATATATCAACGTCATGCCTGGTTGAAGGACCTGCTATTCCACAAAGGCATCCTGATCATCCAGCACAGCGACCAGTGCTATTCCATTTGCCAATGAGCAAAGCCGAAATGTTGAAAAAGCTTGCAATGCCGACAGACCCTGGAGCGCACTGGATATCAACCTATGATGCCATGTGTGCATTCGTCTGGCGAATGTTGTCGAGGACCCGCGCTCCTTTTTACAAGCCTGACCCTTCAACGCCTCTCTGGTGGGGTGAGGCCGTGGATATGCGTCCTCGTCTCAAGAACCCTCCTCTCCCAGAGGGCATGATGCGCAACGTTGTCGCAGGCGCGTTCTCCGACACTGCATCAGTGCCAGCTCTGACTGTCGCCGATGTCATCTCAGATGCCCCCCTATCGAAGCTTGCAGGCTATATTCGGGCGTTGACCAAAAGCTGCAACGAGAAGCATCTGGAACGCCTGATTGATTTCATAGCACCGATCAGAGACAAACGAACAATTAGTCTGCGCGTCGATGCTCACCCGCCAATGAGCATGTTCGTGACGGATCACCGCCCAGCCGATGTTAGCAACTTCGACTTTGGGTTCGCAAAGCCCCTCACACATCGACATCTGTGGGGCGACTTAGTCACGGCAGGCGTAGTCCTCATCTATCCTCCTGTAAGATCGACCACAAACTCTGACGAAGGATACATGTTTACGATCACAATGGAGAAGAACCTGGTGCCCAAGTTGATGGAGGATTCAGAATGGGCAGAGTACTTTGAATATCGGGGAGTTGATTAGATGACGAATAGTATTGCACGAAATTCAGTTTGAGATCTACACAGAGTTGACGCCTTAATGTCACTACTAGGGTGACTATGTGGTTTAGAACATCAGAACATTATTGTGCGAGAGCGAGACCTGTCTTGATCGCGCTATACGGGCTTGAGGAGGTAAGGTCAGGGACAATTACGAATTCACCATCGCCCAGTCTCCTTTTCTCCCAGCAATCTGTACGCGTATCGACGACCCCAATGATATTCCACCGTATAAGCTATGCTCCTAGTAGTAGTATTTAACATCATCAGGGACAAGAGCCTAGCTATCTGACTAACTAAGCCCGATCAACCAGAGCGCCCTTTGGGCATATGATGTGCCGTGCTGCTATCTAAACAGCGTACAACAGGTCAGACAATCTATAATGTACACTTTTCTTCTCGTACCTAGAGCAGTGGAGATTAGTAGCTAATCCCTAGGGTTCGTTCAGTTCCAAAAAGCACGCCAGCAGGGGTTTCCTGACTCGGCAGAAGCGAATAGGCCTTGAATAGCCCTACATTGTCCACAGACGACGGGCTATAACGAAAAGGCCGGCCCTCGCAGGCGTAATTACCCACGAGTGCATTTTTCTATTTTCCAGTATTATCTCGAGTAGATCGGGAAAAATAAAGGAGGGAGAGGGAGGGTAGAGGTAGGGCTATAGCCCAAGAGGTATCGGTAGGTATATAATAGAGTGTAAAGCGTAGTATCTCGGGCTCGCTATCCCCTCACAGGGAGTGCGTTTCGAAGTACCGCGTCAAGCGCTCGAACTTCTCAAAGGCGCCCGGATCTCCAATCAGGGCGTACCAGTAGGCTTCGGCCTGGCCCTTCGGGGGCGGTAAGGGGCTCGGATCCTTTTTAGTCCCGGCAATCGGCCATAGCGCCGCCGTACGGCGGTTCTTCACGCAGTATACTGGATGGGTAGGTGATAATTTCCGTCCGCAATTACATTTGAAGTCCCCGTCAAGCTATGCTCCTACGGGGTACACCGCTACAAGTTAGTCGAGTCTGCCAAAGCAATATTAGCGAGTCATGTTTAGCAAAAGTCCGCACATTGCGGGTACTCCTTCTAAGTACGGATATGACCTGTTATTAAGACATTCTAAAAGAAAGTGTCCTTCTGTGGCTACACCTCGTAGTATGTCTCCACAGAATTCTCGACAATGTATTGATATTGACTAAGGGCCAGACTCTCGCAGCAGCCGAGGTGGAGCGTATGCCTTGCTACTGCACTTTTGAGTCATGTACTTCTCTTATTCGACGCAGTACCTCAATATGGCCGTATTGGCAGCTAGGGTCTATCTTTGGGATGATTGTTAGCCATGCAGGCTTGTTTTCGGTTCGGTCACTTGGCCCCGGTAATCCTCCCTGTGCAGTCGACCCTCCCCCACGCCTCCGGACTGACTTAGCACCTAAACTACTAGTCATAATGCTTTCACCTCGGCGCGCATGCGACATCTGTATTACTGCCGTAGAAGTTTCAGCGTTGAACATTATGGAGCAATGAACCATCTCACATTATGCATGCTGCAGATTTGACTCAAGCATGCGAGTCTGCTTCCGTGTTGCCCACATTCCGACCATCGTTGGAAACACCTCAAGCTGAACCACGTAGACAAAGACGGTGAATAAATTGAACGGTAATTTTTAAATTGTGAGAATGCATGGAGTGATTGCAGATCTCCACTTGAAACGATGTTTATGGAGATCTTGTATTAGTCGAAGATAATGCGACTACCAAACAGAATCCAGATCGTGGACTGTCCAGGATTAACATACATTGCATCCCAAAAGCTCGATGTGACGGTACTTGGCCGTGTAACAGCTTTGAACGAGGTATTAAATCGGTGTATCAAGCATGGGATATTGTCCCGTTCCCAGTCTTACGATCAAGAGCTGGGCCATGTGGCCAATGTAAGGGTCGTACACGTACTACTCGAGTGTCGCCAAGCTACACGTCGAAGGCTTGCAGTCAAGGTGTGGTTAATAAGGCGTAATTGCTGGCCGGCAATTACGGATTCGTTTTTGTACGACACATGGTTTATCTGAAAATACCGCAGACATTACATGCGACCTGTTGCGTGCGTTGCGCGTTACCAATTCTCATTCATATTAGTGGATTAGGCCAAACCATCTTAATTGAGACTGCATGCGGCAATCTGGTAGGTGGTACTCTTTCCGCAGCTCTCTCATGACCCAGAATATTAAGTTTCTTTCAGATCAAGGTACATACGAGTAAGGTACCCGATGAGTCGACGAATGAAGAGGCGAGGCCTTCTTGACAGTGCCCGTGATTGGGGCGGTGCTGGGCGTCGTGTAACAGCCTCGCCATGTCGGGATTGCGATGGAGAGAGGCACGAATCGTGGAGAAGAGTGCTGAAGATACCAGTCAGTCTTCAAGTTAAGATGCCGAGAGTTGAATACTGCGTCATGTTCAAAACACTCCGCTGCCCTTCGGGAATTCTCACCATCAATCTTACTTACCACTATTGATCAATATTCCACATCAAGTAGTGATACTTGTCACTAACAATACAACTTTGACCTTCTGTCTTCGCTCCAATACCAAGACCATGGCCGAGCCTATTGCCGTTATTGGCTTGGATGCCAAGCTCCCATGTGATGGGGATAGCGTCGAGAAGTTTTTTGATTTCCTGGTTGCTGGAAGATCTGCCCGAGCTCCTGTTCCTGCAGATCGCTATAACGCAGAAGCTTTCTGGCACCCTGACAACCATAGAGATGGAGTTGTAAGATACCCAGGCTTATCATATCATTCCATGATTCTATTTTTATTGACAAGATTCTAGATTGGTGGAAAGGAAGGACACTTTATGCAAGCCAACGTCAAAGCATTCGATGCCCCATTCTTCGCGATGACGCCAGCTGAGGCTGCGAGTCTGGATCCGCAGCAACGAATGCTGCTTGAGTGTGTCTACACAGCCATGGAAAACTCTGGATATACCATGAAAAGCATGCAGGGCTCGTCCACCGGTGTCTATGCAGGAGCGTTCATGTGGGATTACCGCGATCTTTTGATCAAGGACGTGGATACTCCCATGACTTACACGGCCTGTGGTACAATTGCCAGCACGCTTGCTGGACGTGTCTCTTGGTTCTACGATCTCCGAGGTCCAGCTCTTAGTGTCGATACCGCTTGTTCGAGCAGCATGGTTGCTCTCCACCAGGCTGTCATTGGCTTAAAGTCACGCGACTGTAACATTGTAAGTATTGCATCTTACAACGATACCATTCAAACTCTGACCACCCTCTCGAATAGGCGATCGCCTGTGGCACCAATGTATTGCTCTCCCCTGAAATGGGTCTTGAGTTGAATGGTCTTGGAGTCCTAGACCCTTCCAGTACATCGTACAGCTTCGACAAAAGGGCAAATGGGTACGGAAGAGGTGAAGGTATCGCGGCTGTGGTCTTGAAAAGGATGTCCGATGCGCTACGAGACGGTGACAGTAGGTTCAACTCTCTGCTTACGAGCAACACAATCAGCTCATTAGATTCTGAGGCTGATTCTTTCACCAGCCATTCGCGCTGTCATTCGCAACACCGGATGCAACCATGACGGGCATTCCCCTGGCCTTACGGCACCAGCGAAAGAGGCCCAGGCTGAAATCATGCGACTGACGTATGCCCAAGCCAACCTCGACCCCGCCGACACCCGCTTCTTCGAGGCTCATGGAACCGGTACGAACGTAGGCGATCCAACGGAGGCTGCTGCCATCAGTGAGATGTTCACTAAGTACCGATCGGCGGAGGAGCCTCTTTATATCGGTGCCCTGAAGAGCAACATTGGTCACACTGAGGGCAACTCTGGCATTGCATCCTTCATTAAGGGCGTACTATGTGTAGAGAAGGGGATAATTCCAGCCAATGCGTGGTTCAAGGAACGAAATCCCAAGATCCCAGCCGAGTGGCATCTCGATTTCCCGACAACTTCCATTCCCTGGCCCGAGACCAAGACAGGTGTTCGTCGAGTCTCCATCAACTCTTTCGGCGTTTCGGGCACCAACGCCCACGTCGTACTGGAAGATGCACTTCATTTTCTGAGAGAGCATGGGCACGTCGCACCCCATCGCACCATTAAGGTGCCTCAATTGCCTGGCAAATCTCGTAAGTCTATTCCCGCTCTGGGGTTTCAAGACTCAAATACTGAAGTGTAATCTCAGCCAGCCAAGAGACTCCTTTTATCAATGGATCTCTCTTCTCCCCACAACTGTTTGTGCTTAGCAGCCATGATGAAAATGGCATCTCCCGGCTCTGCTCTGGGTACGAGGCATACTTGCCGACTATGATCGAGTCTCTTTACAATCTCAGCTACACACTAGCATCCAAGAGGTCTTTGTTCAATTGGCGCACCGCAGTCGTGGCCAGCTCATCTGTGGAATTGGAACATGCGCTTTCACTAGGACCGCAGGCAACACGCGTTGTCGCTGATCCTGGAGTTGCATTCGTGTTTACAGGCCAGGGAGCACAGTGGGCTCGCATGGGAAGGGGACTCATGTGCTACGAGTCTTATCGAACAAGCCTCGAGTGCGCTGATGCGTATTTGAAGACGCTGGGATGTCAGTGGTCTGTTCTAGGTGAGTTCATTTGGGCGTCCTTCATGATTGAATAAGATGGTCATCTAACACGCGATGTCTACAGACGAGATTTCGAAGACCTCTGATGATTCTCTCATCAACAGTGCTGAGTATTCGCAGACTTTATGCACAACATTGCAGGTCGCTTTGGTTAGACTTCTTCACGACTTGGGGGTGAAAGTTTGTGCTGCCGTCGGCCATTCTTCGGGTGAGATCGCGGCTGCATACTGTGCCGGTGCAATTTCTCAGGAGTGCGCTTGGCGTATTGCTTATTGGCGTGGTAAGTCATCATTCTTTGCATAAAAAATTGAAAAGCATCGAACTAATCGCTTTTATCGCATTAGGAAAATTGTCTGCCAACCTGGCGAGATCTCCATCGCAGCCGAAAGGTACCATGGCTGCAGTTGGTTTGAGCCTCGACAAGACTTTGGAGTTCATTGACCGGGTCAATCAATCCGGGATCGAGTCTGTCGGAAAGCTCACTATTGCTTGCATGAATAGCAGTAACAGCCACACCGTCAGTGGCAGTGTTGCAAATATCAACGCACTTATCGCTATGCTCAACGAGGAGAAGATCTTTGCACGCAAGCTGAAGGTGGAGATGGCGTACCACTCAAAGTTGATGGAACCCATTTCACAAGAGTACGCCGAATGCATCGGAAAGATCAACCAGAGTTCTCACACGGTTCAGCATTCCGAGGTTCAGTTCTTCTCGTCGGGATATGGGACCCTGATACAACATTCAAAGCTGCAAGACGTCAAGTACTGGACCAAGAACTTGACCTCCCCCGTGCGATTCAACGAGTCAGTGACGGCCATGCTACAAGCCATGACCGAAACGAAAGGCGATGGCAGTCAATCATATCTGATTTCAGACATCATTGAAGTCGGGCCCCATTCCGCCTTACAGGGGCCTCTTCGAAACATCATTCAGGACGTCAGAGCCAATGGCGACGTGACATATCATCACGTGCTCAAACGGGGCGAATCTGACTTGGAAGTTCTCTTGGGCGGAGTTGGATCCTTGTTTTCTCGCGGTATTGAGGTTGACCTGCTCAAGGTCAACCACGTCCCTGGAGTCCAGCCGTCGATGATGATTGATCTCCCTCGGTACCCTTTCAATCACACACGGGAGTACTGGAACGAATGCCGACTCAGCAGAAACTTCCGCTTCCGCCCGTATCCTCGCCATGAACTATTCGGAGCGCCCGTCAATGACTGGGACGGAAAGCATGACGCAATCTGGCGCAACTGGATTCGCCTGTCGGAGAATCCATGGGTTGAACACCATACCATCTCGGGATCAGTGCTTTATCCTGCTGCAGGCATGCTTGTCATGGCAATTGAGGGTTGCAAACAGCTAGCAGAGCGTTCAAGCCCAGGAAAGCCAATCAAAGGCATCCGGTTCCGTGAAGTATCGTTTCATTCGGCCTTGCAGGTCCCCGAGGGCTCACTGGGCGTAGAGTCACACCTGTACCTTCGCCCCGTGAAACAGGCTGCCTTGGAGGCCAAGGCTTCAGTTTGGCGCGAATTTCAGGTTTGCACAGCCCAGGACGATGATGAATGGCGAGAACATTGCTGCGGTCAGGTTCTCGTGGAGTACGATGAGGCCGCGACGGCTGTAGATGGCGGTCTCGAAGAACAGGCTCTTTGGGCTCACTGCGAGGCCAGGATTGACCAGGCTCAACAGAACTTCAAGAGCTACGTCCCCTCCGACAAGATCTACGAAGCTTGGAAGAATGTCGGCTTAGTGTTTGGTCCAACCTTCCAGACCGTGGAAAGTGCCGTAGTCGACCATGTATCCGGCGTCACCATGGCTAGGGTCAAGCCTACCACAGCTCTTCTGAAGACTCTGATGCCTCACAACTACCTACAACCTCATCTGATCCATCCTACAACATTGGATGGTGCGCTCCAAGCATGTCTAGTGCCTCTTGTATCCGACCCCTCCAGGAAGCAAAAGAATGCCATTGTTCTCTCTTTCATGGAAGAGCTTTGGGTTTCGAACTCTGATCATCTGGAAGATGGGTATCTTGTCATTGCGGACTCTGAGTCTCACGGCCGCAAGAAGCATATGATGTCATGTACCGCCGTTGACTCTCGTTCAAAGAAGCCCATGATCCGAGTTTCTGGATGTATTGTGACAGAGGTGGATGGCAACGATGACTCACCCTCCGAGCATGACCCCAGACACCGAGCATGGAACATTGACTGGATGCCTGACCCCGAATTTCTCAAAACTGAGAAGACAGAGGATGCTTTCAGAGGACCCAATGGATTCCAGAACTATTTGGGTGCTCTGGCTCATAAGAACTGCTCGATGAAGCTTCTTGACGTCAGCAATCAAGCTTCTCCCTTCACGAAAGACGTCCTATATACCTTGGCTCAGCGTTATGCGCAGTACGACTTGGCTGTGGCCTCGTCATGCTTCCTGGACCAAGCACAGAAGATTGTTTCTGGCGATTCCGTGCAGGTCAAGATCTTTGATGTGATGGAGGACCCGGCTTCACAGGGCTTTGAAGCGGCTTCATACGATGTTCTATTTGCGCCTGTTGGTATTATTCCAAATGCAGACATTGATGGGTTTCTAAACAGGTGTATCTGTCTTCTCAGACCTGGTGGGAAACTCATCTTGACGGCTGCGAATAGTTCTGTTGTGGCCAGAAGCTGGGGCGAATACCTTAGCGATACAGGGCTCGTCGGCCTCGATGCTGTACTTAGCGATCAAGATTCATCGATATTGGTTACGAGCACTCCAATATCTCGTGTACCTGACGTTGAATCTGCTTCTGGGAGCTACTACATTGTAGGAGACCTCACTTCACCGTTCCAGCGTGGCATGGCCGATAGACTGTCATCCTCCTTGCTGGCAAAGGGCTTGAAGACCAACATCACTACGATCCCACAGTATTCCCAACTTGTAGCGTCAGCAACGATGGAGGAAATCTCAGAGAGCACTTGCATTGTACTCAATGAGCTGGAAACGCCTTTACTGGTCTCGGCCGATGAAAGCGTCCTGGAGGCTGTGAAGGCCATGATAACTGGGAAGCGCCTACTATGGGTCAACCGGGATTCATCCCCTGATACATCTCTCATCAACGGTTTTGCTGCAAGCATTCGTCTGGAGAGACGCAACCTCCAATTCGTCACTCTCACTTTCGACTTCGTAGAGAGCGACGACACTGTTTTCAACGGGATCACCTTGGTAGACGAACGTCTTTCAAGCGCCAAGGGGCAGGTCGAGACCTCATACAAGGTCATCAATGGTCTGATCACTATTCCGCGCCTTGTCCAGGCGTCGGCAGTGACGCAGCACATCCGACAAACTTTAAACGACGACACTTCCGAAGTTGCCTTTGGGGCAGATTCGAGTCGGCCTCTGCGACTTCAGATTCAAACCGTTGGTCTTCTGAGTTCGCTGCGTTTCGCCAATGATCATCTGCACTTGGCCCCTCTGGAGGATCTTGAGGTTGAGTTCCAGACCATGGCGACTGCCGTCAATTTCAAGGACCTGGCAGTAATGCTTGGCAAGATCCAAGAGACGCCTGTAGGCCTCGAAGCTGCCGGTATTGTCACCCGAGTAGGGTCTGGGGTTACTCGCTTCCAGCCTGGCGATCGCGTTTTTGGCTTTACCTTCAACGGCGCTTATTCTACGTACGGCAGAGGTGCTGAAGGCACCATTGCCAGAGTTCCCGAAGGCCAATCATTTGCTCAGGCTGCAGTCATTCCAATTGTGTACACGACTGCATATGCCTGTCTCTATGACATTGGTGAGCTGGAGAAACGTTTGAGACGTGGCCAAAAGCCTAGCGTGTTGATTCATGCGGCGGCTGGCGGTGTCGGCCAAGCCGTCATCCAGTTGGCTCAGCGCGAGGGTCTCGAGATCTTTGCTACAGTTGGAAGCATCGAGAAACGTGACTTCCTCGAGAAGACTTACCGAATATCACGGGATCACATTTTGTCGAGCCGCGACCTGACCTTCAAAGATGGTGTTCAGAGGTTGACTGGCGGCCGGGGAGTCGACATCGTCATCAACAGTCTTTCTGGTGACACGCTTCGTGCTACTTGGGAGCTTGTTGCACCGTTTGGATGCTTCGCGGAGATCGGTTTGGCGGATATCGAATCTAGATCTCGCATCTCCATGGGAACTTTTGCTCGAGGCGTGAGATTCGAGTCTCTGGAATTGAACTACATGCGACAAACAGATCCTGCGCGTCTAGACGACCTTTTTTCACGCGCCATGGGGAACGTTATCGGGAGTGGTCTTGAGCTTGTGACACCCATCACAAAGTTTTCCATCTCCCAAATCCAAGATGCCATGCGATTCATGCAGTCAGGAAAGCACATTGGAAAGATTCTCATTGAGTTCAAGTTGGAGGATTTGGTTCAAGTGGTTGAGCCGTGCAGACCCCGTGCCGAATTCGCTCAGGATGCTACCTACATTGTTTCTGGTGGCTTTGGTGGTCTTGGGCGGGAAATCATCCGTTGGATGGTGAAACAGGGCGCGCGCAACCTCATTGTTACTTCACGAAATGGGCCCGTTGATGCAGCTGCAAAGGATCTCGTTAAAGAAATCCAAAACAGTGGCGCAAAGATTGTCACTCCTTCTTGCGACATAACCGACAAGAAGGCGCTGGAAGAAGCTATCGCTCGGGCTCTTTCTAATCTGCCGCCAGTTCGTGGATGCATCCAGGCTTCTACAGTCCTCAGTGTAAGTTTCGCTCCAGCATCAGCATCGCTTAATGACATTGCTAATTCCTCGATTCAGGACAACGTTTTCAGCGAGATGAATCTCAGCGAGTGGAATTTGGCTGTGGATGTCAAGGTGACTGGAAGCAGGAACTTGTGGGAAGTCCTTACAACCAGGAGTGATGCCTCAACACTCGACTTCTTTGTCATGCTGTCTTCTCTTACCAGCGTCACTGGCAACAACGGTCAGGCGAATTACAGCGCGGGTAACTCGTACCAAGACGCAATGGCACGGTTCTTGTCGGCCCAGGGCCACAATGTCGCCGCCCTCGATGCCCCAGTGTTGACCGATGCTGGGATGGTCGCTGCAAGACCCATGTTGAGGGAGTATCTTCTCTCTATCGGCTGGGCCAGCATGTCGGTTGAGGAGCTTATCAATGCGCTGGACTACTACTGTCGCCCCAAATCTCAAGGTGTGGGCTTGCGAGCTAAGGATGCCCAAGTCATTCCGAGGCTTTGGCTTCCCAGATATTCGGCGGCTGAAGGGGCTGAGCAGCCGACATGGCAGCATGAACCGATATACAATCATCTGGTTTTGAAAGGCGCTCATTGTGGTGATTCGCTGCCCGGAAAACAAGGATCTACTAAACGCTCACTTAGCGATGCAATCGGGGCGGCTGAGTCTCTAGAGGATGCCGAACAACTCGTACGTGAAGCCTTGCTGAGACAACTGGCCAAGATTCTTAGCTACGAGCTAGCAGACCTTGACTCCTCCAGACCTTTGAATGCGTATGGAGTAGACTCTCTCGTGGCTGTAGAGCTCCGAGTGTGGCTGACAAAGGAGGTTGGCGCTGACATTTCGGTCTTTGAGATTACGAGCGGTCAGCGCATCAGCCAGCTTGCTGGAAAGGCCGCCGCTACTTCAAGATTTTGGTCAAAAATCAAGGTTCAGTGAAGTCATCGATGAATTATACCGAATCTTATGTTCGGTCGGAAGAGCCAGGTATCGATTGTAGAAAGATCAGGAATGCCCAGGCTTTGCACGAAGTCCGTAGATCACCTCGTAACACCAGGTATAATGTACCATCATGGCGCCGTTTGTTAATAGTAGCCTGAAGGTAACTAGGAATTTAGAATAATGACAGAATCCGAAGTAATTATGCCAGAATCCAGGTAGATAAATTTCTCAGTCACCCGTTTGGTCAAAGGCACTCGTGAAGTCGGACAGTGCCGTCGTTCAATTCAAAACTCTTGTCTCTCTAGGTTCCCTCGGGCTTCATAGCACTACAGTCCCAGCGAGTTGTAATGCAAGTCTGCGGAGGTCTGTGGATGATTTACTTCTCGGCAAATTCTCAAGTCATTCGCTTGCATGTATCGCGGGTCTTTACTAATTTTAGAACCATTCGACGAGTCGTAACACGGAAGTCTTTATTAAATCGCTCAAATTTATCATTCGGGTAGCCGAAGGACCCATCTTGTATCAGAACAAGGTCAGAAGTCAAGCGCCGCTTCCGTAACAACTGGAAGGTGGGCATGCGATCCCACATGACCCGGGATATGATGACGGTGCGGATCCATCAGCCTGACCTGGCCATTGCGCACAATAAAGATGCGGTCAAGCGGAAAGGAGTACAGCTCAGGAAGAACACCGCACTAATCTATACACTGAGTAGGAATGATATAAAAAGACCAAGGGGTGGGTGTTTGACTTGCTTTCCCGACCTGGAACTATCATCGCGAATTGAACTTTTCTCACAACTGCCCAACATGGTTTCTCAAGTACCCCTCACAGTAATTCTTGGAACTCATAGTGTAGGCAGTGCCTGAGGTTGTCAACTGAGTTTACTGAACGAAACTGATATTTTTCTAGGTTGGAGACTGCGTTGTCGACCCTCAAACCTCCCACTTCGATAGCGAGCAGGACGTCCAAGCTCTTCTAGATGCCTTCCACAGCCGTGGATACAGGCACCTCGATACAGCCCGAGACTACTCTCCAAATGCCCCAGGTGCATCCGAGTCACGTCTTGGTAAGTCCAAGGCTGCTTCTCGATTCTCAATTCACACGAAAGTCCACAGTGCAGACCCCGGAGACCATCAATCAGCGAAGCTCGAACTCAGCATTAGCCGATCGCTGAGCGATCTCCAAACGCCCACCGTTGAGACAATGTTTTTGCATTTTCCAGACCGCCAGACTCCCTTTGAGGAAACGATCAAAAAAATGGATGCCGCTCTTCAGCAAGGAAAGTTCAAGAACTATGGCCTTTCAAACTATTCAGCCGTAGAGGTGCAGAGGGTTCTCGATGTCTGCGATCAACACGGATACGCAAAGCCCAAGGTGTATGAGGGACATTACAATGCGATTGTGAGAGGTGGTGAGAAGGAGCTGTTCCCCTTGTTACGCAAGCATGGCATGGCTTTCTACGCGTATAGGTGTGTCATCAAGCTTCGGCAATTCAAAATCGAATTCGAGCCTAACTTTTGTACAGTCCCGCAGCTGGAGGCCTTTTCTCAGGACATGCTGCTTCTTCAGGGCGATGGAAGAATGACGTAAGTCCGAGGACCATCTTTGAATCCCGCACCATAATAACAGAAAAAGAACTTCTTAGGCAAGGCTTATACTTACCTCTACCGGAAGCCCCCGGTTCGTATCGCGGTAGCCACCATACTCGAGCTTGCGGCAAAACACAATATCGGCGGACATGCAGCTGCCATGCGGTGGACAGCGTTCCATAGCAACTTGAATGCGGAATGTGGAGATGCTATCATCTTTGGTGTTTCCAAGATAGACCAGCTTCGTCAGACTCTCGACACTCTTGAGGCTGGCCCTCTTCCGGGGGACCTTGCAGATGCTATAGCAGCAATCTATAGTACAGTGGAAGGTGCCGAACCACCTTACCACCTTTGAATTGAGTGATACCTGTAGAGACAACTACTTTATGAAGACTTCAATCGAATCCAAGTCTTGCGCCTTACCAGTCGATGCCAACGCATGGTACGCTATCACTCCAATGATATTGAAATCTTGAACAATTGCTACCCAGTGTTTCTCTATTTGACCTTGCCTTTACGAAGTGTTGCATGCATTGGTTTTCCAAGGTACATTTGAAAATGCCAAACTGAGACAACCAGACTCGTGGATGATCCGGCCAGGCCTCCTGCACTCCAGGGTTTGATTTCTGGCTATGTGGTTGCTGCACGGCATCAAACGCCCTAATACGCGACAAGAACTATCGCTAAGGTGGTTGATGTTGGAAAGGGATGTAATTTTGCATTGTTTCTGTATTTTGCAGCCAACTTCAATACGGCCCTCCACGCCATATACCCTTCGGGAGGTCTGCCGCAAGGGCGGCTGCGCCCTTGCCGCTACGGCGTTAAATAGAACAACAACAACAAAAAAATTCAATACGGAATTAGTGGATCTCTGGCTTTTAAAAGTCCGCAGATGAACAAGGCTGACAACGAGGCTTTTGAATATGAGGAAGAGCAGATTTTGGTCAAAGATCGGGGTATTGTGTCAGAGCCCTCCCGGATAGGGGCTAGTTAGAGGTAGTAAGGAGTCCAAGCAACAAAGGAGCAGCTCAGATATATATACAGCGCAGGGAGTACACGTCGGGGGAGGAGCAAATTTCAGTAATCATCATTCTACCCCTAACTGCAGTTGGCCTCTGAGAGCTTCCACCCTGCGTCAACACCCCAACTTGACATATTGGGAGTGTGAGGTTTCGCATTAAATTAGAAACGTTTATTAGTGTGTAGGAAAGCCTCGTATTTTTTTGTCAACTGAGCGAATGCTTTCTCTACCTTTCGATTGTGACTACTTTATGTCTCGAATGAGGGCGAAAAGTGAAGGCTGCATTCCGTGGCCATTGCAGGCGTGAACAAGTAGTTCAGGAAATTGTGACAGTTAGATCGAAGGATGCGTATTACTGATCAACACTGCTGGACGGTCTGAACCTCGATCGAGATAACACGGCTCATTCAATGAATATTAAGTAAAGAGTATCACTGTTGGTATTCCTTTCACAGGGAACTTGGTTCGAACCGTAGGGCCCTGGGGTGACGAAGTATCAATATCTCTGTATTGATTGATTCTGCGTAAGGAGTAGAAGGGAGATTCCAACCGGAGGTTGGGTGGGTAGTCGAGGTCTAATTGTACTCCCTCGAGGTGGCCCATGCTCTGCCCTTAATCGTGGTCGAATTGGACTTCCAATCCGACACCCTCCTAAACTTGGCCTCCCTAGGGCTGCCCTTTATTACCTCCTCGCGGCACGGTTAGGCTACGGGGACTTTAAATAATATTATTAACGCTTTAACTATATAGAAGCACTATTTACCTACTCCTGTAGAGGGGTTAAGGAGGTAGACCATCTAGTCTATTACCGAAAGACCCTACTAAGGAAGCAATAGTAGCCTACCTTCTACCTTTGTAGCCGCTAAGAGCCCGTAGGACCTATAGGGTCCCTCGATCGCTACTTTAAGGGGCTAATTACTGACTCTAAAGGCTTCCAGGCCTTCCTCTACGTAATAGACTTCTAGAAGATCTGCCCGCGATATTAGGAAATAGGTTATAACCTATCTTTTAAACGATAAACTACCTTTATTAAGAAACTAGATAGTTATAACGGAATTAGGGTAGTAGTGGGAACTAGGGATAGATAGAACACATAGTAGCTTACGAGTAAGACTTAGAGGACGTCAGGATACGGCGTGTACTATACAGTATATAGTCAGAGCCTGCGACCCTCCACGCCACATACCCTCCGGGAGGTCTGCCGCAAGGCGGCTGCACCCTTGCCGCCATGGCGTTAAATATAAAACAAAAACAAACAAACAAACCATTTATTACCTAGCCAAGAACGATTTAAATAGCATTCCCCTTGCTCAACGCCGTCAACAACTCAATATACCTCCCAAGCAACACCTCCGCATCACCCTCCCTATACACGCTGCTCTATAACTTGGCAGTCACAAGCGGATCCCTCGTCGGATCATCACTCATCTCCACCAGAACATCATACGGCGTGCGCTCCCAGCTCGCCACTACCTCAACGATCCGCGCACCGCCCACGGCCCCAGACTCGGCCGCCCCCTGGCAGTAATCAAAGACCGCCTGGAATAGCGGCGCGCACGTCATCGCCCATGGCAAGACGACCGTATCGTCCAGTCCCAGACGGGCCGCGATCACGTCGTGCGGCACGACCGAGTGCGCCATGGCCTGCCGTACCGCCCCCTTGGCGGATTCGATGGTGGCGGTAAAGGAATCGGAGGAGGCGTGGAGGCGCAAGGGCAGCAGATTGGCAAAGTACCCCATGGTGGACAAGTCCGCCACGGACGAGCGGTTCGTGTCGGCTAAGCCAATGGATACCTGCGCCTGCTTGGACAGATTCGAAAGCAGCGCGGCGTACGCCGCAAGATAGAACGTCATGGGCGTCGTCCGGAGTTTCTTGGTGCGCTCTTTGATTCTAAACGCAAACACGGCAGACAGGCGGGACAAGGCGGTGTGCTGGTCCCAGCTCACGGGTCCTCGGGCGCGCTTCGCGCCGGGGAGGGGCAGCAGCAGGAGCGGTGCGGGCAGAGGCTTGTAGAGACACGTCCAGTACGCAATGGACGCGTCCATGCCCCCCGAGGCGAGGAGGGTGCGTTGTTTGACCGCGAAGAAGTCGGTGTACTGCGGTGCCGGGGGGGGGGGGAGGACAACGCCGGCGTAGAGCTGGGACAGCTCGGCGACGAGGTTTTTGGTGGTGGAGCCGTCGCCGGCCAGGCGGTGGTAGGCGAGCACAAAGGAGGTGGGCCGTGGGCGACCAAGTGGAGAGGGCGATTTTGAAGGTTTCGCCGTTCGCCAGGTCGTAGGCTTCCTTTTGCAGCTTGGCCAGCGCGGCGTCGGCCTCGGCGCGGAAGGCGACGGAGACGGCGCGCAGGCCCCAGGTCGGGGCGGGGAGGACGTGCAGCTGCGGTGTGGGGGCGGAGGCTTCCGAGGGGCGGAAGGCCGTGCGGGAGGTTTCGTAGCACGTGATGGCGGCCGTCACGGCCTATGCGAGCTTATCGGTGCTTAGGCTGCCTTCCATGAATACCCCGATGGTGTTGTGGGAGATTGTCGCGTCGGGGAGGGAGGCAGGCTGCCGCGTGTACGAATACTGCTGGATCAGCGACATGGGGGCCTTGCGTACCACGCCGTCGAGGGGCTCGTTGGCTTCGATGGTGGTGGACAGCGCGGTGAAGGCGCCGTCGGAGGACGCCTCTGTGGAAGAGTCCTCGGAGTGTTTTGCGGGGCCTTGGGCGTCGGCGATGCGGGGGATGGCGGCCAAGGAGAGGCGGGAGGCGCCTTCGGCTGCTAGGTCGTCGATGGACGCGCCGGAGAGGACGCGCAGAATGGGGATGTCGACGAGGAGTTGTTTAGAGAACCTATGGGTGTGAAGCTTGCTGTTAGTGGACTGTGCTGTGGTGGGGAATCGGTGAGAGTGGGAGTGAGCGCCTGCGTACCATGAAGCGACGGTGATGGCGCCGAGCGAGTCGATGCCCTGGTCCAGGAGGGGAGCGGCCGCGTTGACGCTCTCTTCCGGCGGGATATGAAGCACGCCGCGCATCTTGTCGGAGAGGCTCTCTTCTCTGTTGTATCATTGCACCGTCAGCTCCGGCCCATCACGGCAACCCCACTAATAGCCGCCCGAACCTGCTCCATCGTCGTCGCCGTTGCCAACATCTCCTTGACGCCCATCTTGCTCCCGCCCGCATCAGCGGCATCGCCCCTGCTCTCCGGCGTCTTCAGATTCCCGAATCGCGGGTCATGGTAGAACTTGATGGTCTCCTTGTGCCGCGACTCCAGCGCGGGAATACCGCTACCAATCTCCGTCTCGGACATGTCAATGGCCTTCTTGGCGTGCACGCCGTCGACGCCGTGGACCCGGCGGCCGGATACGACTGCCTCGGCAAAGAGGGTCAGGAATTCGGCTTCGCGGCTGTTGCGGGTCAGGTAGCCGATGCCCATCACGGCGCCGATGTGGATTATGGAGGCCTGGTATTTTGTCAGCTTGTCGGCTTGCACATTTACCAAATAGTATAACTATTGAATAACTACAATAAAATAAAACAAAATAAAATAAAAACAACTTACAGCGAGACCCTTGCTCCGCCTGTATTGCCCCAGCGCCTGCAGATACGCGTTGGCAGCAGTGTAATTCGTCTGGCCCGGATTACCACCAAACAGCGCGGTACTAGAAAACATGACGAAGAAGTCAAGCGGGTCCTTTGTCCGGATCGCAGAACCGGTCGTGGAAGATCTTGGCGCCCGGGACTTTGGACGTGAGCACCACGTCCATCGTCGCCAGGTCCATGTTGTTCAGCAGCGCGTCCCTGAGCACCAGCGGGCCGTACGCCACACCACCCACCGGCGGTAGGTTATGTACGTCGCGAAGAGTGCCGGCGTCGATAGATTCTGCCTTGGATGCGTCCCTATATCTGTTTTTGGCTGTTCTTGTCAGATGACGGTGACTCTCCAACAGGATGCCGCCGAGACGTACATGGCGAGCACGGTCACCTTCCCGCCGAACCTCTCCATATCCTCAAGCCACCCGGCCTCCAGCCTCTCGGGATTCCGGCTAGATAACACAACATACCGCCCGGCATGCTTGACGATCCACGCCGCGATCGAACGCCCCATGGACTGCGAAAGCCCGACGAGGAGGTACGTCTTGTCCTTGACAAATAGCGTGCCCGCGTCCACGAGGCTGACGCGGACGGGGACTTAGGGTTATCGACTATCGCGTCGAGGGCGTCGTGCGCGTCGGCGGGCTTGGTGACGGGGCAGGAGGCGGTGGTGTCTAACAGTGGATCCAAACAATCTCGCCTGTGTACCTTCTCGAGTTGTGCACAAGCTATCTCCCTGTCGTCTACCAACACGCTGAGGTCTCCATGCGGGAGACATAGGCAGCCTGGCTGGGCGCGGCCTCATCTGTATTGCGAAGCCAAGCCCGTGTAGGCGAGTGGCCTGGGGGTGTTCAAACAATCACGTCCAGCCATTAATAATGGCTAGCATGCCTTGACCATCGAGGGTCGACACTTCTCGGCGGCTACTGGCACAAGACCATCAAAGATCGAAGAGGCATGATCCCCAACACTGTGCCTACGAACCACGAGTAAGAATACGAGGCATTCCGCGAGCGACGTACGCAAGGTCAGCGACAGTATGCTCAAGCCGGGTCATCTCTTGGGCATTTTCCAATAATCCGTAATATTTTTTTAAGAAGTTGTCAGGCCCATCCCAGTACACTCGTTACAACGATTGTCACACCATGCCTATGAAACAATATGGTCTTACACAAGCATGACTAAGTTTGCCAAGGATATGCCAGTATAAAGGGTCTTCCACTCACTATATAGATAGTCGGGATATTCCCATAGCCACTCGTTCTTCATACTCATCAATACATCCCATTGACCCCCTACCTGATAATCGCTGCCCAACAGTTATGAGCCCAGTTGTCTTTCTGACCACTGGATACTCTGAATAAGCATCACACAGTCAACTACCTCTTTGTCTATTAGCAGCCCAGGCAGGCACCTGGTCAATCCACGGGTATCACAACCGACCTATTTGTCTATCGAACAAGATGTCTACCGTACAGACTACTATTCGCCTTAAAAGCCAATCTGACTGGCCAGACTGGTATACCTTCATCAGGATGAATGCCAAATCTAACGGGATATGGCAGTTCTGCAACCCTGACTCTGATGAGGCCTTGACTGCGCCTATCAGACCACAACTGCCAGTCGACCCAAATAGCGACCAAGTTACTCTGTTTGACGCCAACAGCAGAGTATATATCGAGGAGCTTAGGCAGTACGAGCGAAGAACCCAGGCGCTTCAGAAAACCATGAGAGACATCACCACCACTATCGAGCCAACCATGCTCTCCTGGCTAGTGGATGCTGATACTCCAAGAGAAGCCCTGCGAAGCCTGAAGGACAGGTATCAACGATCTCCTCAAGCGGAGAAAAGACTTACCTACAAGACCTATAGAGATCATCTCATGAGGATCAAGAGATCAGGCACCCAAGAGTGGATTCAATCTTGTGAGACCAATCTCTCCAAAGCAGTCAGATTGGGCTGTGAAGAGATGAGTGTACCTCATCAACAAACCACCCTTCTCAACGCATTGAAAGGGGTATATCCAGACTTCGTCGCTCCCATGGCTAGGGATACAACCAGGGAAGAAATTGACGACGTTGATCCATCAGAACGGCTGACAGGCAAGAAAATCCTTCAGCATTTGAGAACCTGGCTAGAGGCTGGGCATGGAGATGAAGACTCCAAATCAGGCGGTGCATATGCCACTTGGCAACAGCGTGAAGAAGGCCAATCTCCACGGGTTTCAGCCAAGGGCAACACCAACAACGCTTCTTTTGGCCGAAAACCAAAGGATAAGGACAACAGGCCGAAACCCTTTTGTCTATTAGATGGGAAGAAGCACTTTTATCAGGAATGCTTCTATTTGAACCCATACATTCGTCCATCCGGCTGGACTGGAGACACAGCGAAGATCCAGATGGCTCAAGATTTCCTTGCCAACAACCCTAGGCTAAAGGAAAAGATAGAGCAAAGCAGGACCAAGAGCGTCTCTCCAGACCAATTGGCAGAACAGAAGGCCAGCAAGGCCAACTACATACGGGCATCCAGTCCATCAGACTCAGATACTGACTGGTCGGATACCAGCTCAGTGCCAGAAGAACCAAATGGCAGCTGTCAGCACATCGCTCAAGCCAGCGATAACAAACACGCTGTACTTGTTGACAGCGGGGCATCAGATACCCTCACATGGGACAAATCTCGCTTTGCAGATCTAAACCCTGTCAAGAAGACCTTTGACACCCCAAATGGGCCTATTATTGCAACCGCAAAAGGGACCATGATAGTCAATGCAGTAGATGCAATGGGCCAACCTCATCAATTGCGAATCAACAGCGCATATTTAGTACCAGACGCTCCAACTACCCTGATCAGTACCATCAGATTAGAGGAGCAAGGACTTTGGTTCTCGGCAAGGCAACGATGCCTTGAAGACAATCAGGGCAGTCCTCAATTTCAAATCTGGATACTAGAATCACAGTATCATCTCGAGCCTCCTGACGGCCAAGGGGCAGTCTATTTCTCATCCTCTTCTCAGCCTCGAGCAACCAGCAAGGAGAACGCCAAACTGTGGCACGAACGACTCAGCCACGCAAATAAGGCGGCTCTTCAACACCTATCCAAGGCATCCTCAGATGCAGGAATAGAGGGTCTTCTGATAGAGGACTGCGAGACATGTAGACAGGCCAAAGCAATGAGGAGCATCTCAAGACGTCAACCAATTTACAAAACCACTTACCCATTCGAGAGGATCAACATTGACTTCTTTCTGATAGAGGAAGCGTACAATGGGGCGAAAGTCAGTATTATCGCCACATGCCCATACACCAAGCTGAAGCTCCAGAGAGCACTTCCACATCGACGACTTCTTGGCCTCCGATTTATCAAGCAACTAGTCAAGTTTCTCTCAGTGCAATACGATATTGTTGTACGATTTTTACGGCTTGATGGGGATGTGTCTCTACAGACCAACATAGAGGACTACACCTCCGAGGAAGGGATCATTCTGGAGAGAACAGCACCATACACATCAGCACAAAACGGCCAAGCCGAGAGAGCTGGGGGAGTTATGTTTGCAGCAGCAAGAGCTCTCTGTATACAGTCAAACTTTCCCCCACAACTCTGGCCAGAGACAACAGCGGCAGCCGTCTATCTTGGCAACCGAACTCCAAGAAGGAAGATCAACTGGATGACACCAGAAGGAAAGACGAATGCGTGGCTGAATGCCAACAAGGGTACAAAGCGCCCAGAACTATCATCGCTTAGCCATCTCAAGAGATATGGTTGCAGAGCCTATCCTCTGACCAAAAACTACATGGCTGGCCGCCAAAAGTCAGCCAAGATGGCACCTAGAGCTCATATTGGCTATCTCTGTGGATATGATAGCTCGAACATCTATCGCATATGGGTCCCTACTCTGAATCAGGTTTTCAGATCCAGAGACGTGTCATTTGACGAATCAGTTGTCTACAATCCTTCAGAAGTCCAGCAACTTGATGCCGTACAGATAAGAGAGCAGACAGGGCATCTAGACCTGTTGGAACTCCATGACGATATTGATCACGATATCGAATCCATTCTAGAGGATTTCGCGGCCCCAGATACCTATGCAACTCATCCGTCAGACCGCCAAAGTTCTATTTTCGCTCCAGATAATAGTCTTCCAACTCTACCTTGTCTTAGGGAAGAAGTGACGCTAGGTAACCGCCTATCCAGCCAGCCTGGCAGTTCTGTAAGAGGAACAGAAACCAGCCTCGATATCTCTTCGGCTGGGGGGGTGATGTCTAGTAGCCCTCCACTTCCATCTTCATCGTCAGCCATTACTTCAGACGAAGTAATCCATGACACCATCTATGTCAACACAGAAGAGACAGTGTCTCAACAAGAAGAAAATCAACCCTTACATAGGGACCATCAGATCGAACCTGGGTGGGTGGAAGGCTCCCCTCGACCAGAAGATTCATCACCAACCCAATCAGCGACTTCACCAACTCCAACGAGTGGAGATGGTAGCAATACTTCCAACAATAACACTTTGGAAGGTGTAGGTCAACAGCCCCTCAGCAACGTTATCAAAAGACGCCAGAAATACGACAAAAGTGAAGGGGTTGACTCTTCCAACATCCTGAAATCCCCGAGGCGACGGAAACCAAGTAAAGAGGCAGCAGGCTCTGAATCGAGAGGTCTCTATCAGAAGCAGTATATCGCCTACATATCCGCCAACACAAGCGCACTCCATAGCGCAACGATGGATGCGACAAGAAAGATGCACAAGAGAGATCTTCCTCCAACTCCCAGAAACTGGAGAGAGGCTCAAAAGCACCCCTTCTTCAAGGAATGGAAAGCTGCTTGTGAATCTGAGCTAAAACACCATTGGGATATCGCCACATGGAAGAGAGTTCAGATCTGCAACGTCGACAAGGAAAAACACTTTATTATCCCCTTATTATGGGTGTTCACTTATAAGTTCGACAAGCACGGCTATCTTCACAAGTTCAAAGCAAGGATTTGTGTCCAAGGCAATCTTCAACCGCCGAACGATCTCGACACTTCAGCATCAACTCTTGCTGCCAGAACCTTCAGAACCATGATGGCCCTTG